CTTCACCCGATAAGTTTTGCCGAGCTTAGCAACCTTCTAAATGGGCGTCTTAGGTTACTTACACTACGTTAGGTATTTTAACCCATAACTTACTGTCAGACTTGGCTTCAATGAATTTAATTTTCGTAGATCATTGATTGCGTGTAAAGTTTCCACCTTACGTTTTCGAGCTGTCCTTCCCTTTCAGCATCCTTCTGAATGGCTGCTTTAAATAATGCCTTTTTTCTAACTTAGACTTTGCTTTAATAGCTTTAATTTCGTGGATCAGGATGCGTCTTTCTACGTCTTCCGCCTTTAGTGTGGTCGTATTCTCACATATACGGAGCACCCTATTTCTGAACCAGAAACTGAAATTACTCTCTCTAGTAAAAAAATCCTGTTGTAGCATTCTAATGGCTTTGATGAAAGGAATTGGCAACAACTTTTTACATGTCCATATTTACTGTGGAATGCAACCAATTAAACGCACCCTTATTTGAATCGCGAGATATGCCAAAAAATACTGCGCCTTTGATTAGAACAAGTTAAATATGATGGCTCTAACCTATGCGTTCTTTTTTTTTTTTCACAGGCCGAGCGAATGATAGAATGCTTTTTCGAGATGTTAATTCCCAACCGAAAAGCGCGGATAACATGAAATCTTCTTTGATTTCCTCCACGACCCAAAGAATGTTGCAGAATCCAGGGAATCTTTCTGAACTGACGGGCAACGATAGGAAATGAATGGCACCGGAACATCGGAAGTACAATTGTTACTGGGTGAAATTAGGCGTTGGAAAATTTTCCGACATTTACTTGACCGACGAAGCCGCTAAAGATATCTTCTCCAGATTACTTCACCTACGCGCTTTCATTTTGATAGCGACTTAAGGACATTTCCGAAAGTTGTAAATCCTATTATCTCAGTTACCGAGCAGAATGTTAGCGCGGTTTCCCTATTGCTTTTTCCAGAGTTCAGCCTTCAGTCGTGTTATTTTAGCACTGACTGCTATAACCTCCGCGTAATTAAAATAGCTTTTTAAGGGGCGGGATGCCAGTGAATTTCCCCCTTCTTAACCAAATGAGTGAATGGAAAGAGTAGCGAAGCCGCATTGTCTAATTGCCTCCTCGTAACGTTTATTTTGGGAGAAGTTAATTTATAAGTTTCCTGTGGTATTTTATTTTTTATTGAGTGGTGGAATTTTGTAGTTTCCTCAATAATACTGAAAATTAATTCGATTTAGGATGCTTAGTGTAAGTGATGACCCGTTTAACCCGAAAGTCGAAGGACAAGTTCTCCTTTCTTATCGCCATACATTTTTGACAGCAGACATGCGGAGAAGTTAAGTTATGCAAAATTTGGTTGATCGTTTACTTGATTCTCACAACATCTTATCCTGATCAATACCCGATTTAAAAAATGAGAAATTAGTCACTGATCATCGTTCACGGGTAAAGGGTTTTAAGACGGTTAGTTTACTAGCAGTGACCCTATCTCGCCCATGCGAGCAAGCTCTCAATTTGTTTCCTTTCGCGTGCGGCTCTCGAGTAACCTCCCGCGAGCCTCCAAATGGAGAGCCTGCTCGCGCGCGGTCTTTAGATTACATTACCCGCCTCGCCTTAAATTATTGTTCCACGTTTTACAGCTTGTCTGGATTTACGAGTGATTAATTTCTACGCCTACTCCATTAGAGGCGTGTATTGAAAACTTTTATAGCAGCTGGCTGCTTAGTGGACGGTCTGTTTGGGGTCTGCCGATTGATATTATGCTTCAAAAACGGAACTTTATATCTGAGTCTTATAACACAAACAGCTCAACACAACTTTCAAAACCCTCGTCGGTAATTCTCTTGCTTACAGTGACACTTGTATTTTCTCGCGGGCTCTTTCTTTCGAAGTTACGTGCATATGCGTCGGAGTAAATTATTTTGGCGTTCTATATTGTACTTCCTATACTTTGTAACAACTTATTTATGGTTCGTTCACCTCAATGACGAAGATAGATCTATTCTTGTGGTCTTTGGATCTCTTTCATACCGGAGACTAGCAGGCTTTGTCTTTTTCCTCTGGTATTTTAAAAAATCGCGTCAAAGAACTTATTATTCATATTTTACGTTCTTGTTGTGGAATCAAAAGGAGAGCTTTCATAGACTTTGTCGAGTGCGCCAGTACAAACAAACAAACTATTCACTGTCAACCCCGGCTGTCAAACACGATCATTCTTTCAAAAACGCGAAATCTTGAACCTTAAAATCCTTCGGCAAGTTTACTAAGGTAGCCTTAGAGACAACGAACTTATTTCCTTAGGAGCTGTTTCGTGAATCATTGCCAAATTCAGATAGTCGGAACTGACCGGCCTGAGGAAGTCAAAAAATAGCCATAACATAGAGGGATGACTTATAAAATAACAAGGCAAATGCTAAAGGAGGAAGGGATGGGCAATAATTGATGAAGATTAGAACGGATTGCAATCAAGGTTTTTCTTTCAAAAACAAAACTATTTAGCTCAAAAGTTTTTCAAAGTTCCGCCCCCAACCATCAATTAGTCTAATGCAATCTACAGTTGCGGCTTTGCAAGCCGGCTTTTTTTTCTGTAACTTTCTTTTACGCATCGCAGTGGTTAAAGAAAACGGTCATGCAAAAGCTAGACAGCTGTACTTTCCGGCGATATTGAGTATGTTGTATGTGGTTTTAACTTTTTGACTGTTTTTGAATCTGCCGGTGAAATATGGTGCCGCGACGGAAAGTTATCTAGCAGTTTTTTCTATTTAAGAAATAAGTTTCTATTTACTGAAGTCGCGGCGATTTTGTGCTGTACATATGTATGATGTAAATTTCAAGAGCATTTGGGGGCTATTGTATATTTTCACAGTGAACGTATTTATTATTGATTGTTAAAATAGCTTGTGATATTTGACGGAATTAGTTTGACTCTGAAGAGAACAATGACTGATATTGAATCTCTTAATTTATTTGGTACGTAATTAATCTTTATTTAGTATGTTTGTAGATTTTCCATAGAATACAAACAAAAATAAAAGTATAAAAAGAGCTTAACTAAGCTGACGTATTTTCTCCGAAAAAGTTGAGTCGCGCTAAAATTACTATGTTGACATAAAAAAGTGGAAGGTCTGGTGGCGTGTTTTTATGCGTCTCTTCCATGTACAGGGCTTTCATATTCCAAGACTCATTCATTCCCTCTCAAAAATAGTTTTTAACACTCAATTTTGGGGTTGGGAAGTAGAAAACAGTTCTTCTTGTCATGGAAATTTATTTTGCTTTGCCTTTTGCGATCCTTAGGATTGGTTTTATCACTGAAAACGAAACGAAGGTATATCGGTTTCATTTTGTCCCCCTTATATTGCCATCGTTCATTACATAGTCATCCTTGGAACGAAAATAAAGTATTGTCAAAGAACTATTATGACGACTGTTTCCTCTTTGGGCGTGTATATTTGACTTTCGGTTATATTTTGGGTAAACTTTAAAGCTATTTTTATCTACAAGAGCCCCACCGCCAGCCTATGCCTGTTCGCATAAAATTTACGTATGTCGTTTTAAGTTTTGACATTTTCTTGACAATTGATCAGCAAACTTTATAAAGCTGGACAACGCTTTGTAATTGTACTATACATCGGACAAGTGTTCTCTTTGTCTCGAGGTAATCGATGTAATCACTTATATAATCCACGTCACCTATCGTCGGTTACTGTAAAAGGATCGGTATAGAAAACAGAGCCAATACTATTTATTTTTGATGCCAGTCACTTTTCATTTCGATGCACCTTAATTTGAGATTTTTGCATTTAAGAAGGCAAATTATAGAATAGAGCACTTAAGCTATTTAAGAGCACAAAATGTTATCGGTAAAAAGGATCTTATGGAAAGCGGCTTTTTTTCAAGGCTATTATAACTGGTGATCTCAATGTAAGTGAGTGGTTGTTGTTTTCAGAATATCACTGAGCAANTTTCTCCGAAAAAGTTGAGTCGCGCTAAAATTACTATGTTGACATAAAAAAGTGGAAGGTCTGGTGGCGTGTTTTTATGCGTCTCTTCCATGTACAGGGCTTTCATATTCCAAGACTCATTCATTCCCTCTCAAAAATAGTTTTTAACACTCAATTTTGGGGTTGGGAAGTAGAAAACAGTTCTTCTTGTCATGGAAATTTATTTTGCTTTGCCTTTTGCGATCCTTAGGATTGGTTTTATCACTGAAAACGAAACGAAGGTATATCGGTTTCATTTTGTCCCCCTTATATTGCCATCGTTCATTACATAGTCATCCTTGGAACGAAAATAAAGTATTGTCAAAGAACTATTATGACGACTGTTTCCTCTTTGGGCGTGTATATTTGACTTTCGGTTATATTTTGGGTAAACTTTAAAGCTATTTTTATCTACAAGAGCCCCACCGCCAGCCTATGCCTGTTCGCATAAAATTTACGTATGTCGTTTTAAGTTTTGACATTTTCTTGACAATTGATCAGCAAACTTTATAAAGCTGGACAACGCTTTGTAATTGTACTATACATCGGACAAGTGTTCTCTTTGTCTCGAGGTAATCGATGTAATCACTTATATAATCCACGTCACCTATCGTCGGTTACTGTAAAAGGATCGGTATAGAAAACAGAGCCAATACTATTTATTTTTGATGCCAGTCACTTTTCATTTCGATGCACCTTAATTTGAGATTTTTGCATTTAAGAAGGCAAATTATAGAATAGAGCACTTAAGCTATTTAAGAGCACAAAATGTTATCGGTAAAAAGGATCTTATGGAAAGCGGCTTTTTTTCAAGGCTATTATAACTGGTGATCTCAATGTAAGTGAGTGGTTGTTGTTTTCAGAATATCACTGAGCAAAGCACCGAACTGTTTCCACGCTTTTTTAACGTGACGTTCTTTTATTCGAGCTCGCTTTCCTACGCGTGACATGTACGTGGATCGCGTGCATAGACACGCGAGGCGTGTCCGGATAGATAGCTTTACACGGCAACACACCCTAATTTGACTTTGCAAACACCAGCTCTTCGTGCTTTAGAAAGAACGCGATGAATATTTGTCCGGCACTCCTAAAGGAATCTGCCGATCGAATGTTTTATTTTTCTGAAAACTAGCGTCTATGCTGTTCTCATAGATTTTCTTTCAATTCCATCATAGCGTGAGTGAAAGTAAGTGAAAACTATTTCGTCGAACTGGAGCAAGTAAATCATTTTCCTCGTACCTTGAGGGTATGAGAGGTTCTTTTATCGTTTGCTTCACCAAAGGAAGACAAAAGTGGCTTTATCAGAGGTAAGTCTTTGTAACAATGGCTTCTTTCCGGTTCTTATGTCTGAGAAAAATTAGAAAATTTTAGGTTAATAGAACTTTGAAATTGCGGTTGTGGTACAACTTTTGAAGTTCTCACGTGGGCGAGTCAGTGGCGAGTTCCCCGCGGCGATATAGAACTGAGTAGCGACAGGAAATTTGCATCATATTTTACCATCCTCAAAAATGTACTGCCGAAAGAAATTTCAAGGAGAATCTAGTGCTCGTAAGCTCTCCATGAAGGCCATCGACTGAAAAACAACTTTGAAAGGTGCTAATCCTAATCTTATTTCAAAAAAAAACAACGACCGCAATGTTTTTTTAAGCTTTTTGATTACATTCACGCGTTTTTTCCTGTTAATATTTAAAGTTCCCTATTTTAGGGTACAAGGGTATTAAGTGTTGTTTCGATTTATTCAGTTATCGTACCGTTTTATTTTTCAGAGCTATTCAGACGACTACGTCACTGCGAAACTAAAAAGTGAATCTAATACAGCCCGCCTCCGGAAACAGATCAATTTTCAAGACAACATTTTATTGTGTGAACCCAACACATTGATCGAATAGTCGTGAGAAACGGCGAGGGTGGACGCGCAGATAAACTGAGAAGCGCAACAGATCATCTGCCGCTATTAAAGTTTTTGAGGTACTGAAGATTATTGGTGACCATCTGCCAGATTTATAAATAGGCAAGAAGCCTCGATGTCTAGAAATTATTCCAGCAAAACGTTAGATTCGTAGAATTATCGCACATCCAGAACTATCGCGCACAATGATTGGCTGTTTACTAACATCACGTGGTAAGAGTCGTCGTCGAACACGGAAATTGCAGTCGAGCGAATGGATCAAAATGGCCGGAGTACCTCCAAGCAGTCGAAGTTCGCGATTTCTTTCTCGTTTGCACGATGCCCTAACACACGCCGTAACACCACGTTTGCAAATCGACAGAAAGACCATCGAGAAAACATGGAAACTGATGGACAAAGTGGTGAAGCTATGCCAAAATCAACGGCTGTCGTTGAAGAACAGCCCCCCTTACATTCTAGACATACTCCCCGATACTTATCAACATTTGAAGTTAATTATTTCGAAGTACGAGGATCGTATGCACATCTTGAACGATTGTGAGTATTTTAGGATATACATCGAGAACCTTATTAAGCAGTCGAAGCTCGCCATCAAGCTTTTTAAGGAAGGCAAGGAGAAAATGTACGATGAGGATTCGACTTACAGACGAAGCTTAACAAAACTAAGCTTGGTCTTCAGCCACATGCTTGCTGAAGTCAAAGCAATATTTCCTCAAGGAACTTATATAGGCGATGGCTTCAGGATTACAAAATATGATGCAGCTGAATTCTGGAGAAAGTCGTTCGGTGTTGGGTAAGGAAATTTATGTTAATTTTTTGTTGATGATATTGTTATTGTTCGTCGAGAATAGATCACTGGATGGATTTGCTGTGTTTCAGTGTGTAACTCATAAAAACTCCTCGTTTCAGAATTATTGAGGTTTTTTCGCAGGTGGTCCTGGCCCGGCCTTATCAGTTTGAAGCTTTTTTATTCGTTCAATTGCGCTTTAGTCTTCAACGCATTTAGAACTTGTCAAAACGGAAAACGATAAAGGATTAATTTTCTAATTTGCGTGGCTCGCTTGACGTGAAAAGTCAGGTTAAGTAAGCTTAACAAGTCTTTTGTTTGAAAATATTTCCATTGAAATGAAACACAATCGGCAGGGCAATTTTCCTTTTGTATTAAATGCAGGTGATATAAAATCTTCTCCACCTACGGGCCTTCTTGTAACTGTAGTTTTTCGTACACTATTAAAGCTTAATTTTAAAACCTCTTATATGCTGCAGTTGCCAAGGCTTGCACAAAAAAATGAGCATTTATTTGACCCCAAGTCTGCCTTATTTTAATGATGCATGAATTTAAAAAGAGCATTCACTTTTGAGGTTATAATTTCCAAGGAAGGTGTTCACAGTATGGATAATGTGTTTTACAGTTTGACGTTGTAAACATAAGCTATTATCTTCGTTGTTTAATATGTTATTGGTCGCCACATATATATTACTTGTCATACATGCAAATACATTTAATAGCAACAAAAATTGTTTCACTGCAAATTAATTCTAAAAGGCATATTATATTTGGAAGTTTCATCTGAACATCTTTTGTTCAAAATAGCAAGCAACATAAAATTAATAGCATCATCAATCCTTACCATGTGAAAGAAGCTGTGTGTGTATAGTCAAGTAAATTCAGGCTCAAAATAATGTTATAAAGCAACCATTTTCAAGCTGGCTTAACTGCAGTTGGCTGCTTATTAATATGATCTTCTTTGAAAAATCCAACTCAGTGCTATTTATTGGCTATTTAAATGATAATTAAGTGCATGTCAGTGTGTGATTCGTTGAATTTAGTCTTGACCTTAAAACAATTTTATTAGAAGGTCCTGGAACCAAAAATGAATGATTAGTTTTGTTCACTGTTTGCCTCCTTGCTGTGGAACTTGCACTTTCGAATTGGAAAGCACCGACTGTTGTGTCATAGATAAGTTGCAAATCAGATATTCGAGATTTTTTCTTTAGTGAAACATGTTTTGCAAGTAGAAGCTTTTTTTACAGGTCAAACGTATTTGAAAGGAAAAGTGAAAGAGGGAGAAGGGTGTGTATGTTACAGATCAAAGTTATATTCAGATTTAATTTTTTTTACCGAAGTTGATTCTCAATTTCCTTTGTTTCCCAGCAAAGGAAATTGTAAGGAGAAGATTGATGTTGGTCACTCTTAATAATAAATTTATTTCTTCTACCCTTTAGTAAAACAACTGTATCATGGAAGCAGTTCCGTCAGACTCTCCAAACAGTACATCATATAAGCTCTGGTTTGGAGGCAATGGCCTTGAAATCAACAATAGATTTGACCTGTAATGACCACATATCCATTTTCGAGTATGACGTCTTCACAAGATTATTTCAACCATGGTCACATCTTCTTCAGAACTGGAATCTTCTGGCTGTAACACATCCTGGTTATTGCGCATTCATGACGTATGATGAAGTGAAGGCTCGCCTTTGTAAACATCTAGACAAGCCTGGAAGGTTGGTTGTTGATTTGTGATATATTTGATATAACAGTATCAAGTTTATACTTAATAAATATATTGTAGTTAATTCTTATTTTTATATTGTTTTTTGGGTCTGGTAATGTTTGCTAATGAATATGAAACAAAGGAAAAATAAAAAATACCTGAAATAAAAAATTAACTGCAACATATGTAGGTACATGCAATGGATAGCAGACGTTTTAATAAATTTTTTAGTTGATGTCAGAGCAGGTGGACTTAAATTACCCAGTTACTTAACTTTTCAGACGAAGAGATAAAATTTGCATATTTAAGACTTCCTTTGAGCTATCAATGACAATTAATGACATTAATAACAACTCAATGGTACCAGTTTTTCAGACAGTAATGTTTACTTTGTGGTCATAGGTAATGGATAAACACTTTACATAAATGTAGGTGGAAAAAAGAGTGTAAAGATGAAGAGGAGGAAGAGGAAAAAAGTGGAAGTGAAAAAATAAGAACTTATCAGACATTAATGACAGCAAAATAACTGCATGTGGCTGTGCGTGATATGAAGAATTATGCAGACCAACAAGGGTGTTTGCCAAGGTGCATAACATCCTCTAAGATCTGCATATTGGTATTTCTTTATTTCATACAAAAGCTGAAAGGATGTGGGAGTTAATAACAGTCCTTCCAAATATCTTGAAAAGCATCTTTTGAAAATGTGTTGAGGGGTTAACAGGGCTGTGCTCTAGCAGAGCCCGGTCGCCCCTGGCGCCTAACTTTTGCCCTCGGGCGACTAGAAAATCTCAGATTTTTCATACAAATCATATGCTGGGCACCCTAGATTTTACAGTTTCAGAGCACTGTGCTCCCTTCAATTTTCCTTAGAGCACAGCCTTGGGTTAACCCTCTGGCCCTAGTTGTTCAAATGCTGGATGGTGCTATTCACCAGATAAATTACTGTCCAGCTGAGGATAGGTATTAGGAAAACCCATTACGTTATCCACCGGATAGGGGTTTATCCAGTGGATAGCATTTTCCACCTTTTTAACTTTTCCACCTTTGTAGCTTTTCTGATGTTCAACATGAAATATGGTTTATTGCAGCTATATCTTCAGATTAAGTTGTACAAGACTTGGCCAGTGGGCCATAGGATATGTGACGCCGGAACACAGTATTCTACAGACTATTCCTCAGAACAAGTCACTGTGCCAGGCGCTCATAGACGGTGCCAGAGAAGGATAGTAAGTCTCCTTCCTCTAATCCCTTTTACTTCCGCACGTGGCTTAAATCGATTTTAAAAAATTTCATTTTTGAAAATGAAGAAGAACAGGAAGTACTTTTAGGGGTGTTTCATTTCATATATCTAAAATAATATTTACGTTGTTTAACCCAGACAGGATTAGCTCAGTTGGTAGAATGCTTGACCTGCAGAGCAGGAAGTTGTGGGTTCAATTCCTAGGGCTGATCCACTACTCAGGGTCTTAAAATAACTGAGAAATGAAGGCACTGCCTTCGCGTAGCTAGGATGACCAGTGATGTAAAATGGTGGTCCCATCCCCTGTAGGAGATGGAAATATAGTGTGCCCTGCCCTCAGTTAGTACTTTTGTGCTAAATATTATTTTTGATTGACGCTCAAATAAACTGCATTTTTCTAGTTATCTGTATCCTGATGGTTTACCAGACAACCCTGATGTTAGCCACCACTTGATAACCCCGCCCGATGAACATATCACTGTCACCGAGGAGCAGTATGAGCTGTACTGCGAGATGGGCTCCACATTTCAACTCTGCAAAATCTGCGCTGAAAACAACAAAGATGTACGTCTGGAGCCGTGTGGTCACTTGATGTGCCACCTCTGTTTGGAGCAGTGGCAAGAGACTGGCGGGGAGGGATGTCCGTTTTGCCGTTCTGAGATCAAAGACATGCAAACCATTGTTGTTGACCCTTTTGTTCCCCATCGTGAACAGCCATCAAGTACAAGTATGCCAGCTGAGATCCAAGAGAATCAGGTTGAATTTGATGAGGAGGAAATAATGGAGGTCAGGATAGTGTAACAAAAGTCTCCATTTTCAGAACAGTGATCAAAGAATACTTGGATAAGAAAGTATTGATTGATGATTGACTTGATTGCAGAGTTAATTACCTTGTCATAAGTAGGTAGGGTATGATCATTGGGTTTAACGTGGTCCTGAATAGGACTGTTGTTGAAGGTGACTGATGTTTCAACGCCTGTCCGGTAGTCATCTTCAGAGTCAGTGTGAGTTGTATCATGTTAGTTGATGGTATTAAATGCTGGTTATTGATTTGATTAGTCTATTATTTCATGATGTTATTGGCCATCTGTGAAAAACAATGTTATCATCTTACTACATCTACCACAATATTGTTTATGGTCTTCCCTTTAATAAAAGGTTTTTCCAATCCCAGCAATTTTTAAGCAACAATAACCCTGAACTAAGCACTAAATTGAATTAATTCATGTTTTTAAATTTACCATCAATTGCATCTAAGCGTGGACACCAGACAAAAAAAACATGTTCTAATAGGTTGCCAGACATGACGTGTTTTGCCGCCAAACATTTGAAGTTTGAGAGCCGTTAAAGCAAACTGTTGTGGTAAAAGTTACGTTGTTTGCATGTTTTTGATCAGGGCGTTCCTCTCATCTTTTATTTTTCTCAATTTTCAGTCATATTTCCCGCTCAGAAACAGCACACTGTCTTTTAAGAGTAATTATTATTCTCTGGAGTCTTACAACTCCAGAAATTCTTCTAAACGTTTTGCGATGAATATTTTGTTGAGCGAAAACAAATCAAGTCGAAAAACAGCAACCTACTTTACACATGAACTTTCGTCTAACGCCACCCCAAACTTCAATGATTTAGCGGCAAAACATGTCATGTTTTCACTCAATTAGAACATGTTTTTTTGTCACGTGTACATGCTTAGATGCAACCGATGGTATGTCAATTTGGTTATTACCAATGATAATACTGTATTTTGTTTTTCTTCTCAGGATCCAAGTCAGTGGATAACACTGCAGTCTCATCAAGAAAGTAATGACCTGAACAGACATTCGGAGGATGCTCCTCCACCCCTACCTCAAAGACGAAACCAACTGCTCAATGTACAGTCACCAACTTCGCCCACTCTTATAGTAACACACGCTTCGCCATTTAGTTCTCCGAGAAGCTCATCAAGGTCCTCTCCACACAGTTCTCCATGGAACTCACCAAGAACCTCTCCTAGGAATTCTCCAAGAAGTTCGCCGCTGGCATCTCCAAATGTTTCACCTCATTCGTCACCCCAGGCATCTCCTTGTAACTCACCCCAAAATTCACCTGCACAGATTCGTAAAGGAAGACCTCCACCACCACCAATTGACAATGAGAATGACAGCCCTCCTGCTATACCAGAGAGGAGTTATAAAAGCAGGGGGAGTGTGGAAAAAAAGGATAAAAACAGAGATGTCAATCGTGAAAGAGGGGACAACCGTAGGGATACGATTGGATACGCAGATATTGATACTTCAAATGTGCCTAGTGATTCACATAATCAAATTTCCCATCAGAATAGAACAAATTATGCACAGCTAGCCTATCCTGCTCCCGACAATGACTTGGGTGCTAGCAATGTTGAAAGAAGCACCGCAAATGGAAACATGTTTGCTGAAATTTGTACCAATGATGAAGCAGCCTGCTATGATTTTCCGCTCCCAATTTTGTCAGACAAAGGAGATAATACACCCTTTAAGCAGAATGGCTTGTCTAATAGCGCTGGCAGCTTGGAACCTGTGGCTGACCCCTTTGCCGATGATCCATTTGCACAGTGTGGTGAGTCCAAAGACAAGGAGTTTGAAAATGACTTTTTAAAGGGTCCTTTAGTTGTGGCGCTTCCTCCGCCGCGTTCACAAAGCTTTGACACTTGGGAGCCACGCGGAACCAATGATAAAGGTAAACGCCCATCGTCTTCTAGAACCTTTACTAAGGCAAGGTCAACAGATGACGTACTTGATGATCCTACCTATTCAAATGTAAAAACCGCTGCTAATAAACGTGGAAAAAACAGGAATTCTGCAGCTGTATTTAACCCCCCAAACACTTTTCGTCCTTCACTTGTCTCACGGAATAGCTGGTCTGGTGCAGAAGCCAAAAGCTTCAGTAACCCTACATATACTGCTGAGAATTTTGACCCAAGTAAGTTAGAAGCCAACGAGGATGCCAGGCACCGCAGATTTCCCAGACTTCCGGATGACAACTCGAACAATGATGCAATGCAGTTTTATGAAGAGGATTTTACCATCCTTCAAGCCCAAGGTTATTCTCGCGAGGAAATCACCAGGGCTCTTATTGTGGCTGAGAACAACTTTGCTATGGCCAGAAAGATACTTCGTGAATTCTCTCAAGGGACCAGGAAGTTATGAATATTTCCACTTTCAATCATCAGACATCTTATTGCAGTGGATCATTAGCTCTCAGTGCCGTTGACGAAAAGCAATGAAGAAACAGGATTACAGTCAAGGCAGGTCAAGCATACCCCCCAAGATTTTATTAATGAACTGATTTAAGAAATGAATCTGTGAGTCATTCCCATAATTAGTGTCAAATTCCGTTTGGCATTCCTGCATGCGTAATGGGTAGTGAATGTTTTACGAGAACTTGTCTGTATTTGGTCAGATTAAAAATCTTTGAATGGAAAATTGCTTTGAAGACATTTATATCAAATTTAGGAAAACTGAGTTGGTAGAAAATTCATAACTACCTTACGTGTGCATTATTGGTTCATTACACATGCAAGAATGCAGAGATGAGTCTGAATCTACAACTACCAGCGGATTTAACTTTCGAATAATAAATTCGTGGTACGCTTGACCTAGCTTGACCATAGTAATACAACTATATTGGGCAGACAACAATATTGTTTTCTTTTGAGAGCTAATAAATAATGTCAAGTACTTCAGGATGAATAATTCAGTTAGAACCATGTTGGTTTAGCTGTTTAAAATATTTTTAAGATATTGGCTTGCAATAAGCAGTAATAATAATTATTAAAATACTATTAATTCTTGAACACTGACAGATTAACACCATGGAATTCCATCTATTAGAAAATGCACATTTTACAGAAGCAAAAATTAAATTCTGTGACATGCTGCCATGGACAATGGCACATGAAAAACGTGACAATTATGAAAGTAGGACATGCCTTTAAAATCTCTAGTACAATTAACTCTATAGAATCTTTATTTAAGATTTTTGACAGCTAAACATGCTAAAACTACTAGTAGAATACTAGTAAAGGCATGATTGGGTCCCATGTATTTTAGATATACGGTGTTCTTTCCCTTTTTTGGTTTACTACTCTTAACTTTAATAAGGTGAAGTGATTGTTGTATCTTTGCATTGTTATTCAAGGCCACATTCAATAATACCGGTAGGTTAACTTCAAAGTGTTTTGGTTGAAATTCCTCACAAACTACCCAAGGTTCTTTTTGGTGTTGAGTTTTGTCATAATGTTTTGTTTTGTCTGTGAAGAAATAATAATAATATTTTTTTCTTGAAAATTGTATGACTTAGAGGATGTAAGTCAGGATCAACAAATCATGTTTTTATTTAGTTTCATGACAGATGGTTCGATGCTACTAACGTCTAATAACCAAAGAAAAAGCCCTCGTAGGGAACCAGAACTAACAGAACTTCGAGGTACGTTTCCCTTTTGGTTTGCAATAGTAGCCTATTAAAGAAATAATAGGTAATGGTAATAGGACTGAGTGGAGTACAGTTCAGGGAGTAATCGGGCAAGTAATTCCAGTGCGAGGCCGATTTGAAATTACGAGCCGAATCACCCTGGAATTGTACGACATGAAGTCCTATTACCAATAAATAGTGTCTATAACATTTTATGAGAATCTCAGTCCTGGAATATTATTAATGTAAATAAAAGTCACTGGACCAGTCAGTTTAATCCATTTTTCTTTTCCAGTTGAAGCTGGACGGCTTACCTGAACACTATTTTTTCATTGATTTTGATTGGTTGTCATGTGCAATGTAGTTGAATTTCATTGGCTAGTGGCATTTGCCACTTGATTTTCATCGGTTCTTTTACTGTCCGTTTTGACCTGTCTGATTACAAGCTCCTGGTAATTGGACAGGTCAAATCGGACAGTTTTAAAGTTACAATAGCAAAGTTAAGCTCAAAAATATCGGCTGTTAAGAACCAATCATATTTAAGTATTGTGTTATTGACACAATTATAACGGAAACAATAGACGAAAAAATCCCTAGAAATAGATAAAAAATGTGAAAACGTTCAACCCAAGAGGTGGTAAATGAAGAGTGAAATGGACAACAATATAACAATGCAATAACCTCAAACGTGGCCACTGAAAAATACACACTAAGTTTATACAGGTCAAGTTGATAAAAAAACCAGAACCTTGAAATTTGTTAATCGAGCTTGCTTTAGCGGAGCGAGACTCTGAAAATGCAGGCATTTCTCTTTTTTCTTTTTTGTGCGTGGGACCTAGTTCGTAGGCCACTTTTTCCTAACTGAGGATAAAAATCGTGACGACTATCATTGTATTTAAATGAGTCTCGTGATGAGCATGCGGTTTATTTTCGGCGATGACTGAAATGACGCATGTAAGTTGGTAATGATGCAGTTTTCCCCGAATCGAGGTCCTTGATTTGTAATCATGCGCGACATGCACGCGTATTAAAAAGTAAATGCCCCCGACAGTAGGATGAGAAAATATTATACCGGGAAAATCCTGTTTTGTAGTGTATTGAGGTGTTACGTTTCTCAGAATATTGTCGCAATTACTGGAACTCTACAGTTGAATAGATTCAGTTTGTTGTATGTATTTAATAGATAAATTTTCGCAGTTGTTAAGATGTGAAGTCCTGTTGCATTTTATAAATACTTGAGATATCAGGTATTTACCACTGGAAGCAACTTCAACTACTTGTCTAAGGGTTGATTTCCACTGCCGCGTAATTTTTACGTGCGTACGTGCGTGATATTTACGTTAGGAAATAAAATAGAGCCGCAATGCACGTAAGCGTAAAAGTAGAAACTCGCTTAACTTCACCTTTAATTTCAACACTTAATATCTTGCCTCTATTTTATTTACGTGATTAAAATTTACGTGCTTGAATGTGCGGGGCCAAAAACGCGTCAGTGGAAATGCACCCTAAAGTTAAGTATCTGTCACGGACGGGTAGCTTTGTACTTGACTATCACGCACTCTACTTGTAACCCCGCTTGCAGCACATAGAAATCCCATATCGAGCTTTTCCGGAACGGGTCGGTCCACGAATTCTATCGCTTAAAAGCGTTGATTACTTCGGAACAAGCGATTACTTCAGCGGTCGAAAAAACAAAGAATAATCTTAATGAGTGAAACTTCGAAGTTTACTGGAAAATCGGGATCGAGGATCGAGAATCGAAGGTCGGTGATGGAGAATCGGGGATCGAGGATCGGTTCAAAAAAACTTGAAAATAAAATAAATAAATAAATAAATCGTGGATCGTAGCGATGTAGGCCTACCCTGGGTGGCAGAGACTTTTCTAGCGCGGTTTCCGGTTTCTGTCAAGTCTTTATAGTAACCCGCTTCGCCGCTCGTGGCTTTGGCCTACGGCCGAAGATGTGTCGGCCCTCGGGTAGTCTGCTACACAGATGTTTTAAGTGTCGTCACGTAACGCTCCTCCCCACTAATGGAGAGGAGCGTTGCGTGACGACACTAAAAACGGCTGTGTAGCAGACTAGTCGAAGGCCGACACCGAAAATTCCCGCCGCACGCGAGTAAAACCTCTGGTACCCAGGGTAATGTGGGCCAGAAATTGTACATAAATTTCACATAACATAAACCAGTTCGCTGATGTACTGTCTGACAGCGTCATTGTTTTGACGAGAAAGTAAAATTTTCCTGGAAAATGAAACACCTTATTTCAGTGATACTGTGATAAAATGCATGCTGTGTAAAGCTCTACACATTGTACTCTGAGACTGTACGGAGATATTAAAAGCAGATACTAAGCAGCTATGGAAATAACTGGATACTAAGCAGCTATGAAAATTACTTTCACAGTATTTTGATATCTTTTAAAGTGAGCAACAACGCACGAACTAAATTAACTGTCCGTTGTATAACGTTCTGCTAAACTTACACGTTTTTCCTGTGCTGAACATATACTGTACCGAGCCGTACTGTTTTGGTCAGTTACAAAGAAGCTATATATATTTATACTGACAGAGTCATGGGTTCCTGATACTGATAAAAATCATCGTTCAATTATTTGAGTGTAAAATCCCTGAAAGAGTTTTCACTGGAGCAATATCAATATGTAGAAGGTTTTCAAAGGTTTCACACCGGTTTGAAGCTAAGATGAGCGGCCTGTCTCTCCTTGCAATTTTCACGTTTTGAGTGTTTACGTTATGACATATAACACTCGTTTTGTATTCCAAACGAAAAAGAAGTATGCATGGCAGCACTGTCACCCTTGACAACGAAAACTTAGCTTCAGGCAAGCGAGACTCAACGCTACTAAGAGCGTTCTTGTTTGAATTTCAGCGTTAATGACCATGCTTGGGCATATCAGGCAGTTTTTAAGGGGAAGTGGGAGAAGGCAAAACGGAGAGAAGTGCTTCGTCCTTTAAAATATGCTCTCCCCTATAAAACCCCTGAGGAAGGCTTGACTCTCAGGCAATAGTAGAGTTTGTTGCATTGGCCGAATTTATACTGGTGACGAATTATTCGTCTAGACGCATTATCCGTCTCAGACGGATAATTCGCCTTTAGTATAAATTCGGTGCTGAGACGAATTATGAAGCAAAATTCGTCTGACGCTGATTCGTCTGTTAGCACGTCTCGATGACGTGCTAACAGACGGATAATTCATCTTAGACGGATTATCCGTCTCTAAATTTATATCTAGACGGAACGTAGACGGTTTTTTGACGAAGTTTCCACATGAGAGGGAATGGTTTCTACATTTTCGCAATGTTTCCTGCGGAAATATTTAACAATTATTCCTCGAGCCCGAATTGGCTCTGAGTCATAGCCCATGAGGCCGAGATGGGTTGCAACTGCGACAGCGACGAGGCTAATCACAAAATGTATTATTTAAATAGCAAGAGGGACTTATCCCCTCCTCGGTGTGGAAAATAGTCGCCCCTCAGGAATAAAGTTCCCAGTGACTGAGGAGTGTCATTAAGGGCTGGGGGCTGGGGATTTTCCCCGGTTACTATGTACATTGTCCCAGGCTACTTTTATAGGAAAATGGAAGAAAAATAGAAGCAAAAGAATTCTTTAGCCGTTGGATTCGCCACCCACTTGTTATAATTACCCAGCAACTTGAAATCTTAGTGACAGCCCTGTGACTTCTGCTTAAAACTGCTCAACCCAGTTTGCCTTAAATTATGCTTGTAAATAAGAGGGAAGTTTGGATATTCAACGATTTGGCACTTAAGGCGTTATTCTGCAGATTTGTCTTATCGTGCTTCCAAGAATCAGTGCCTGTCTGTCTTGTCTGTTTGAACTGTTTCTTGTGAATACTCCATCGCAATAATCAAGCTTCCCTTCTGTTTTCCAGGATAGGGAAACTCATTCACCCCAAGGAAATTAACTTTTCCCCAAAAATCGGCAACAACAGTACCATGTAAAGTTAAGCTTTGAATTTAGGTTCCATTTAAATGGTAACACCACAGGATTGTGTCCAGACTTCAATGTTTGAGAAACACTTTAACGTCTACCAATAATAAAATTTCCAGTAGCAAGACACAGCTATACATGTTGCATGTCCCAGCAAGAATCAGTTGTTTTATCGATAATAACATGTGACCCCTATGGTTTTTTTCAAGTTTTGATAAAGACCAGTTAACGAATGGCCATCCACACTGCCGGAACGAGCATCTTAAAATTTGCAGTCTTACCAAGTTTTAATGTGACATGTCTAAAGCCACCAAACAAGTGACTCCACAAACAGGGTACAAAGAAAATCATTTTTAGAGCTTGCCATTTGGGCAACCTGAAGCTAGCATTTACTAGCCCAGACGTCATTTCAACTAGCCCCAAAAGCTTTTTGACAAGCAGAATTGATTTCTCACTTCTTCTGTTATTCGATTTCCTCAAAAAACATCACTTGCCCATCGGGCAAGTTAAAAACAGAATTCACTGGCCCAATAGCAAAATCCACTAGCCCCGGGCTATCGGACAGTACTTTCTTTGCATGCTGACAAAGCTACAAAATTTTACTGACATTTGTATGGTGGGAAAGCATGAACTTGTTCCCACCCCCTCGATTACAAATGTCTGTAGAATTTGCAACTTTGCTGCGCTCTATCTCTGTTAGTTCTTAACAAATCACTTTTAAACTTGGCAACTTCAATGACTTTAAGGCATTCTTTCAAGCGGTGTAGATGAATCTTTGCTAACTGGTGCCAGTCAAAGCTGAAAAAACCATGGAAGGGTTTTACTCTCCTTCTCATGATACACAGATGCCTCCACAGGTGGATCAATGGTCTGTTCCCTTTATGGTTTGAATTGCCAGAGATTTGCAAAGGATTGTGTTATGGCAAGGAGTTTTATGGTAAATGACAAAGGGTTAGAAAAATGTGCAAAGATAAAGTCCTCAGTCAAATTATCAAGTTTTATAAGTATTTATTTATTGCCAAGTATTAATGAACATCATCACAATTCCATGGCAGAGAAACTGGATGGAAGAGTTAGCCTTTAAGCTTCTTCTTGGGCCTCAAGTTATTGCAGTGTCCACACTTCTTCTTGCGACAGTTGACTGCACGAGGGTGAAGACGGGCATAACACCTGGTAAAAGTGTAACAAAAATTTTTAGTGAAGTGGCTAATATTCTATTGTTAAGTAATTTTTTGCCATTTATGTGAAAAACAACAAAGAGCCAGTTCACTGTCAAACTCAGAAAACTGCGTGAACACTTGAAAAATTTCATGAATGTGGCACGGCCCACGTAGATGACCACCAAAGAACTGCACAAGTGAGCAACAACTACTGACCGATTACTCTTGCCCCTTACAGGCTAGTTTTATTATTACTAATTGAGACACTTTGAAATACAACATTCCAGATGTACTTCTGGTGTTCACGGTTTTACAACTTTCTAAGTAACATTAAAATCAAACACCTACTTTCGGCAGATCATCTTGTCGCAGTTGTACTTTTGAGCCAAAATACGCAAACTGGGCTCAATAACTCCACCACGCAGCCTTAGCACAAGGTGAAGAGTTGACTCTGTTGACAGAAAAGTACTACAACTTTAACACCATCTTAAAGACATTCTTCATTGTTGCTGTGTCCATCAGCAATGATATTATAATCATTCTAATTGAACACTGACTGAAAACCTTAAGAAATGTGATACCCTAATTGAAAGTGGATGATGTTAAATTAATTATCATGGAATAGTTATGCAGCTGTAATCTGATGATCCTTTTTTATGTTTTTGATGTGTTCAAATACAGGGCACAAAATGAGGGTAATTAATAATAGTGGTATACAGCCAAAAAAAATCATTGATTGATAATGAAATCTCAGCTGATTCCCAAAACTACTCAAAGGGTGGTATGACCTTACAGAGGTGTTTTTCAGGAAGAATTGACTGGTAAACGAACATAGGCAAACAGATATGAATAGGACGTTACCAGTAACAGTTGTTTCACCAACATCGATCCTGTTTGCCTACGTCTTACAACATACTGTAAGTTACTTTGCTGATGGGTCAGTTCCCTAAATATTTTCGCCTGATCAGTGACTGAAGACTGAGTGTATATCAATGCATATCACACTTTTTTGTATCAGGGCTGAGAAAAAACGGTGGACACATGTGTAGTGCTCGTTTCACTTCTTAAGCAAAACGACATAAGACATTTTTACCGCAAAATGACTGGTCACTGAATAGGCAGACATACCCTTCTGGATGTTGTAATCAGAAAGTGTTCTGCCATCTTCCAGCTGCTTGCCAGCAAATATAAGACGCTGTTGATCTGGGGGAATTCCTGAAAAGCCAATGGTTTCATCATTATTACATTATTTAAGACAATGAAACAGAAGTGCTAACAGTGTCTTAATTGAGGATCTCAGTCTTCAACAAACCCAAGTCTGACATTTTGAACTAAACTTTGGGATTTCAACATTTACAGATTTATGTTAAAACCACCTTGTTCATAACAATTAATGGCACCACGGCAAAGAAATGCTTTGATTTGTGTTAATGTGGCTATATAAAATCCCAGTAACTCAATTCGATCAGGAACAAAAATTTCCACGTTTTGAGAAAGTCATCTCAATTAGCTCAAAAAATAGCTTAACTTATACATGAAATGTATATCCTTATCAGTCTAGGGGAAAACAACGAACAAATGTTTTTTTCTGCAATTTTAAGTTGTAACAAGACAATAGTTTACCTTCCTTATCCTGAATTTTAGTTTTTACATTTTCGATGGAATCACTAGGTTCAACCTCGAGGGTAATGGTTTTACCCGTAAGAGTTTTCACAAAGATCTGCATGATCTGAAAAAGAAAAGCCGAAAGTTCATTTTTCTGATATTGTTATTTCTTAGGCACTGATTAAGAAAGAGACATCAGTAGCTTTTTATTAAATCGTCAAAACCGTCCACCATTTTACCTCGTGTCCTTGGTAGAAGAGAAGGAACGATGGGGGGCGGCCGCAAAGTATGAGAAGGGTTTTATGCGCCTGCGATATTTTCAGCAAAATGAATAGTTATTGTGTAAGGTAAAGTGAAAAGTCGCCCATTCAAAATGGCCGCCGAAGATGTTTGCATGGCAGAAATGGACTCTTCAACTGCTTGGTTAGTTGAAAGAGCAAGGCAAAGTTTACGAGAAAATAATCCTTACGAGGCAAAAGCTTGGTTAATCACTGCAAAGACCTTGTATCCGAAAGATTTTGGTATTCAGGTGAGGTCTCTTGCAATCCAAGTTTCCCTTTAAAGAAATAGCTATTGCATTAATATCCGTATCCCCCCGTTAAGGACCAATAGAATTCTTCAGGGGTAAGTCATAAAAATTGAGGATTTCTTTAGGGGTAAACTAAAAAAATATGGAATTTTTTGGGGGTGGATCTTTATAAATTCTCGCAAAATTCCTCATGGTAGACCCATGCATATTTTTCAGGGGTAGACCCATCTTCTTCAAGAGGTAGACCCATATTTTATGGAAGTCTTCAGTGCTGAATGCAATTTTATTAAATCTCCTGGGGCAAGATGAAAACAAAAGTCCTCAAGGAGGTGGGGGGGGGGGACATGGGATCTGGATATTAAAAGCAACCCAATTTTATCATGATTCAATGTTTAACCATTTTCTTGAACACTTTCTTTGAATATCAATATTATTTTTAGTATGAAGCATACAGTATTGAGAGAAATGCTGAGAGAGTACAGGAGTCTGCTAAGCTCTTCTACCACATGTAAGTCTGAGCCTCTATTTCACTGGGGGTGGGGGCAGTGGCACTTCCTATGGCACGGATCTAAAGCTGAGGATTTTTCACGTCACATTTTTTGGACCAAATGATTTAAGCTTCCTCTGTGTCTGCTCCTTTTCTTCTTACCCAGTGTTGAGACGCTTGCAAATGAGCAAATTTATCTGTAAATCAATATTGGTGATACACTGCAAAACAGTCCATATTTGTGTGTATTCAAGTACCCATGAGCAAACAAAAGGTCTGGAATAAGGCTGAAAATGGAGAGAGCAAGACTGGGAAGAGATGCTAATTTTCTCTCGCCGCCACACATGCCCATAGGGTGTGTGAGACTACCAATTTGTTTACTGATTTTGAGAAAAAAACTGACTGTTTTGCAGTCTACATCGGTGAAGATGTAATGTGACTAAGGTTTCAACATCTGTATGAAACTCAACTATTGTAGGTATTTGGGGGGACACTCCTCCGCCCAGCAAAATGAAATTGCACCTGTGATTCAGTGAGCAGTGAAACCCCATTGCTAGAGAATTGCATGATCAAAGTGATAAGAAATGCTAGCAATATAAGTACCAGAATTTTTCTAATCAATTTTCTAATTACTGTAAATTAGGTTTGAGCAGTTTCCTGACAGTGACTTGCTTTGGAAAGAAGTCGCAAGTTTTACAGATGCTCTTGAGGGTGAAGTAACAAATCAACACAGCAAATTTCTGACAGGTAACTTCTTCTTGCGACAGTTGACTGCACGAGGGTGAAGACGGGCATAACACCTGGTAAAAGTGTAACAAAAATTTTTAGTGAAGTGGCTAATATTCTATTGTTAAGTAATTTTTTGCCATTTATGTGAAAAACAACAAAGAGCCAGTTCACTGTCAAACTCAGAAAACTGCGTGAACACTTGAAAAATTTCATGAATGTGGCACGGCCCACGTAGATGACCACCAAAGAACTGCACAAGTGAGCAACAACTACTGACCGATTACTCTTGCCCCTTACAGGCTAGTTTTATTATTACTAATTGAGACACTTTGAAATACAACATTCCAGATGTACTTCTGGTGTTCACGGTTTTACAACTTTCTAAGTAACATTAAAATCAAACACCTACTTTCGGCAGATCATCTTGTCGCAGTTGTACTTTTGAGCCAAAATACGCAAACTGGGCTCAATAACTCCACCACGCAGCCTTAGCACAAGGTGAAGAGTTGACTCTGTTGACAGAAAAGTACTACAACTTTAACACCATCTTAAAGACATTCTTCATTGTTGCTGTGTCCATCAGCAATGATATTATAATCATTCTAATTGAACACTGACTGAAAACCTTAAGAAATGTGATACCCTAATTGAAAGTGGATGATGTTAAATTAATTATCATGGAATAGTTATGCAGCTGTAATCTGATGATCCTTTTTTATGTTTTTGATGTGTTCAAATACAGGGCACAAAATGAGGGTAATTAATAATAGTGGTATACAGCCAAAAAAAATCATTGATTGATAATGAAATCTCAGCTGATTCCCAAAACTACTCAAAGGGTGGTATGACCTTACAGAGGTGTTTTTCAGGAAGAATTGACTGGTAAACGAACATAGGCAAACAGATATGAATAGGACGTTACCAGTAACAGTTGTTTCACCAACATCGATCCTGTTTGCCTACGTCTTACAACATACTGTAAGTTACTTTGCTGATGGGTCAGTTCCCTAAATATTTTCGCCTGATCAGTGACTGAAGACTGAGTGTATATCAATGCATATCACACTTTTTTGTATCAGGGCTGAGAAAAAACGGTGGACACATGTGTAGTGCTCGTTTCACTTCTTAAGCAAAACGACATAAGACATTTTTACCGCAAAATGACTGGTCACTGAATAGGCAGACATACCCTTCTGGATGTTGTAATCAGAAAGTGTTCTGCCATCTTCCAGCTGCTTGCCAGCAAATATAAGACGCTGTTGATCTGGGGGAATTCCTGAAAAGCCAATGGTTTCATCATTATTACATTATTTAAGACAATGAAACAGAAGTGCTAACAGTGTCTTAATTGAGGATCTCAGTCTTCAACAAACCCAAGTCTGACATTTTGAACTAAACTTTGGGATTTCAACATTTACAGATTTATGTTAAAACCACCTTGTTCATAACAATTAATGGCACCACGGCAAAGAAATGCTTTGATTTGTGTTAATGTGGCTATATAAAATCCCAGTAACTCAATTCGATCAGGAACAAAAATTTCCACGTTTTGAGAAAGTCATCTCAATTAGCTCAANTTTGCTTTATTCATAAACCTAATTACCTAATTACTTCATAAACCTGATTACTTAAGTTAAATTCTTGAAATAAAGTTTTGTTGTTTTTGTTAAGCCTTACTTTATGTTTTTGCAGGGAGATGCAAAGATTGCATTGAAAAATGTCGAATGATGCTACTTCTGATGAGAAGGTTCCCTGACGTGATCCCAAGAAATGGGGTATAGTTCAATGTTACATGATTATGTAACAGTAGTTTTTTGTCTTTTATTGGCTCGTTTTAAATACAGAGACAATAGTGGCATATGAAATTTTGAGCAAATTCTGTGTATTAAGACTGATCAGTTTTCATTTCTTTTTAACCAAGGTGACTTTGATTGAGATGTTAATTAATGCTGAAAAGTCTGAGTATCCTGATACTGCAGTTAACCCATACAGGAAGTTGTTAGGTACAAATCAAATTTAAATTGGACTGGATATTCTACATTGACAGGCAAATGTGTCCATGTTTGGAGGAGTCTGCAAGGGTGGATCTGGGGGATTCCCTGCATGCCCTTGTACCATCTTTTTACCCCAGCTATTACTTCTTCATTCAAGATACAACATTAGTATCTTTCATGACCCTCCCCCACCCTGCCCCTTGTCAAAATCCCAGGTCTGTCCTTACTTTGAGTAAATATGTTTTGTCTGAAGTGTGTGATTCCAAAAATTTTCCCTACTCTGGAAGATTGAGTGTCACTTGAAGCTAAAAGGACTAGGAAGGAAGAAGGAGAATACTAAGAATATCACCACCTTCCCTTCCTGGATGGGATGCTATTCCATCTAAGGGTTCCTTGGGTAGTATGTCGCCAGTTCCCCTTGTATACCTGGGTGAAGAGAGACAACAAGTAGAGCAAAGCTTCTTCTCTAAGGAAACTTTGCGATGGCAATTAGCCTTGAACTCAGACCTAAAGAATACAAAGTTTGAGGTGTTAACATTTGGCCATGGCCATGTCTCCTTTGTACTTTCACGTTTTAGTATCAATAAACATGTAGATGTACATTGACAATAGCTATTACCCGGTAATAATTATTATTTATTTAATTTATTAATTACTTTAATTATTATTTAATTATTTAATAATTAATTATTATTTTTCCCATTTCAGTTTGTGATGTACTGCCTCATTTACTGGCCAGTGAAAACATGACAGTTCATGCTACTCATGTGAGTAGTAGCAGTAGCCAAGATGAAGAGGTTTGTGATTTCCTACAGGATGACTTTTGATCAATCTTTGTTGATATGATTATGCATGTAAACAGGTTGTTACCTTGAAATAACACCCGGAATAAGAAGAAAGAGTAGAGGTTGGCAGAGATGCCAACCTCTGGCAGATCTGAAATCTGGTGACTGTCTCTTTTGCAGTAACCCTCTCCCAATATCACCCACCCTATACCTCCTATACACACAAATCAACCAGACCAAGATGTGGGTGTAGCTCAGGACATTATACATAGTCTGACATGAAGTGTGGATTATCAGCAAATGCTTCCATGAGTGTAATGATGAAAGAGTCCTAGTCAGCGTTGAAATGTGTGCAAAAATGCTGCTAGAAATTAATGGTGCTATGATAGTCTTGAAGATTCGATCTGTCTGGTCATTGTGTCCGACCACAAGTAGGATTTTGTCACACATCGAGCAAATTTCATGTAGACACTTCTCTTGATACAACGCAGCTCTGCTTTTTATTTTCTTGTCGGATTAAAAAGGGCAATCCTAAAGAGATAAATTTTATCAGTTTGCCCACCCATCAGGGTGCAAAGGAAGTCAGGTTTACAGCTTGCCATTCGGGAATGTTGTAGCTAGCATGTACTTCCCTAAAAGTCATTTCAACTAGAGAGTTAAAATTTTTGTTGATCATTGATTTCAGTTCTTCTGTAATTTGAATTCCCTGAAAACTTCACTTGCCCATCAGCAAGTTAAGAACAGAATTCACTAGCCCTAAAGCAAAATCCACTAGCTCTGGGCTTTTGGACACTACTTTCTTCACCCACTGTTCATATCATGAATCAGAATACAGGACTTGATTCATCTTATCCAACTGAGGTGCCATCCATTTATTCTATACTAACAGTTAATTACAATAATATTATTGTCCTTTCTTTCTTCATTCAGGATATTCCTTCTGGCATCTCACTAACCCAGGTGTACAAGTGGCTAGAGTTATCCATTCAATTCTATGTCTCATGTGCCACTGTCCATAATTCAGTATATGAACACTCTGATACTCAGTATAACAGCCTCGTAGACACTAGCATTATTGCAGAAGTACTGGATGGGAAAGGTCCGTGGATAGCCCTGCATGAATTGTTTTACTTGGCGGCCAAAAAGTGCGGCTGGATTGAGATCTGTAGCATTCAAGAAAGGCTTGATTCTCAAAAGTACAGGTAGTGTGGAAGTGAAATAACTGTCGCAAGTTGCTTGATCAAGGATGTATAGGAATAGGCCCTTTGCAGCTAGCCATTCACGTGGCACAAAACCACTGTGCTGGAGAGCAAAAGTCGCACTGGGACAAGACAAACAAAGAAAATTACCATTTCAAATTATGTATGTCTTTTGTTTGTCTTGTCCCAGTGCGACTTTTGCTCTCCAGCACGACGGTTTTGTACCACGTGAATGGCTAGCTGCAAAGGGGATTTTAGGGAGGGACAGCATAATAATGCTGGGGATATTCGTCTTGCAATAGACCCTTTTTGTGTACAGCCCTATTAAGTCAAAAGAATGGTCCTAAGCTTGGAATCTATGTGCCTCCAGTGAGCTGAGATTCAGGAGTAAACTGATTTACGCTTTTTGACCATTATTATTACTTGAGGTGGAAAGATGAAAATTTTGACCTTATGATGCAATTGTGGAATGAAGAAAAGAAATTGACTTCCCTGTGAAATATAAAACTATAGCAAAAAAATTTTTAATTTCCAAAAGGGCCTGATTTTCTTTCTACAGTCAAAAAACATAATCCATTCTTCAAGAATAGTACTGGAAACAGGTGTAGATCTGCACCAGATACATGCATCCACAGCAACGTTTAATTACTTATTTACTTGGTATTTCATTGATGTTGCAGAAGTAGCAATGATCACTGGACAAGTATCTCTGAGCTGCATCAGAAATTAAAGAAAATGACAAAACACAGTTCAGAAGAGGAGGTTGGTGATGACACTGTGGAAAAAACTGGACTCATGTATGCTGCCACCATCTTGTTCCTGCAAACTGTTTGGGAATACTGTCGTGTGGTCAACAGGCTTGATTCAGTTTGTGAGTAAAGACCAATGTAGCGATGGTTTATTCACTTAATAGAATAAATTTTATTATAATGTGATAAATGCCATGACTGGCAGATCTGCTAGAAAAGGCTTGTTGCTAGCCTGGGTGTGCTGCCACTGCAGCAAATTGTTGTGTTGTGTTGTTGGCCTAAGCATCACAGGAATGTCACTAAGATTTCAAGTTGTGGGGTAAATACAAACAGCTAGGGATTTCTTTTGGTTCTATTTTTCTGTGAAAGTAACCCAGAGCTGCATTCATAGTAGCTGGGGGAAATCCTCGGCCCCATCCTCTTAATGACAGCCCTGGCGTCAACTCATAGTACCAGCTGGAAGGTGAGGTGTTACTCAATGGAAGTTGACAGTCATGTTAATTACCGAAAGTTAATTAGTCCCAAATGTGTGTAGTGGTCCTTTCTTTAGCATACTCTATTTTTGTTTATTGCTTGTGAGTTTCCTATTCTCAGTGGCATTTACTTGTTTTGTTGTTGTTTTTTTTTGGACAGCCTCCTCTGGTTTAATTCATCCTTTGGTCTTGGTTGAGGACAGTATAGAGTGCAGCAATCCAAATTCCATGACTTCAGCAGGAGCCAGTAGGTAGGAGTGTTAAAATCACCTGGAAGAGCACTCCCTATAATGACCTATATGGGGAGGCTCCGCCTGGGAGGGGTACCTTTCTCAGGCTTCAGGTATATGAAAGGGTAGGGATTACACAAATTGAAGTATATGAAATGGTAGGAAAATCTGTTGTTGTGATTTGTGAGAGGACCTAATAGGGCTAGCAGATGCATTTTATGGCTGTGAAGAAGACAAGAAAACTTCTTCTTTAGTGTGATTTATTTATATTTAAAAGATAGTGCATTTGCAGCAGTTAAGGGATGGAGTGTTCTAAAGTAGGTATGTGAAGGGGTACCATTTGTCAATAAAAGGTATACGAAAGGGGTACCTTTTCCATCAAAAACAGAATATAAAAGAGTAAGTTGTTGGACCTCAAGGCAGAACCTCCTTGCATTTAAATTTTGTTGAGTACCCCCCTTCCCCCAGGGAAAATCAGGATTTATAGATTAGGTGCTATCAATAACTTGTGAGATCAAAACCCTATAAGATCATGTAAATGTTAGAGTGTTCTAAATAAGCAGGTACATGTGCACATGTTTATAATAATTGTATTTTTTGTGCTTTTTATAGTCCAGCACCAAAGAAGAAGAAGCGAAAACTGGCATCTGTAAGTATGATACCGTACTAGTACACAGTAAAATATATGATCTAGGTAAAAGTTCAAGTTTGTAAATGTTCTGTACTGCATAATACCATCAAATAAAAACTAGGATCGAAAAAAAGACAGTAACTTCTGATCAGTAATGTTCTCCTTCCAAATTTCCTTCTGTTTTCTTGGCTAAAGAGAGAGAATTACAGGGGTGGATCCAGAAACTTCAGAAAAGGGTGGCCAGGACACTATATTGATACTTTTGATTTTTCTGTTGGATAAATATAATAAAAAATTTCAAATAAAAAGGGGTGGCCATGGCCCCCTCTGCCCACCCCTAAATCCACCCTTGTTAACTGATATTACATCGGGGGTCACTTTTACGCACCCTTCAAACCAGTTGGAGGATTAATCCCAATCTGGCTGGTCATAAATGGAAAGACAAAAAAAATAAAAAAAACTTTCATTATACTAGACCATGAAAACAAAGTAACTAAGATAAATAATACATAATATTATAAATAATGTTATATCTCTTGATGGTATGGATATGGTGCAAGCCCATACAGTGAATTAAGACCCACTGAACTTGCCATCACAGAATGTGAATTGACTGACTATGGTTGTACAAACTTTGTTTTGTGTGCTATATGTTGACCAGATTTGCTGTAATAACATGTAAGCTTCTTTAGCAGGTTAGTCATGGTTCCCCTGGCACAGAGGATGGCAAAAATAAGCAGTCATCATACATAATAATAGACAAAAGTGAGTCCAGCGGCCTGCAATGTAGTCATCTTTAGTTTGACTTTTAAAAGCAATAACGGACTGCTCAGAGTTGCTATGGTGAGAAAAATATAAGGGCAAGGTAAAATTTTCTTGAGGTCGGGAAAAAGCAGGAATTTGGCAGTAAAATGAAAAACTGTAAGGGTTAGTTTTTTAAACGGGGCTTAGCCCGTGTTGAACAAAACCGAGTTCTAAGCCATTTTCAGTTTGCCAATCGCTTTTGTGTAAACACCATTTATCGTGAACAGTTTTATGAAAGCATATAGCGTGGACGAGATGTGGAGGTCCAAAGATTTCAATCTTAAACCGTGGTCTAAATTACACTTCGTTTAAATAACCGACCCTAAGTGTTTGTAAAAGTCAACGCAAAAATGAGGGATTGTATATTCAGGTTTCCACATTATTAGAGATGAGTCACGTTTACAGCAAACGGCAAACATCAGATTCAAGTTGAGAATTTCTCAGGATACAAAAAAAAAACAGATAAAAACTGTCCAGAACAACTCTTATAGAAAAAACTGGCGTGAAACTACTAATATTTGAGTAGAAGTAATAAACAGCAAACGTCAATTAAAGGGAAAATTTGGTCACGTGGTACAAATTCACGATTGCCGTTTGGCGTAAACGTGAATCTTTATCTCTCTATCATCGGGATTTTACTCTGATGCAGCTTTCAAAGATGTTAGTTCAGTTTCTTTTTGCAACCTAAAATATCTCATTAAACCAGAATTTTAGAACCCCGCCTCCCCACTATATTAAAAAAATAATAATTAGATCCTACTGCCATACTCAAGTGTACCCCTTGGGGTTTAGCCAAAAAAAACTCTAGGGAAGTGGTAAAAACCAAGTGTTCTCCCCTCCTCCACCCCATTCAAGATCTCCTCGTTTGAGTTTGCTCCGTGACCTAACTTTCGTATAGTAACAAACCTAATAGTGAATAAAAGCTAAACATTTTGAGTCAGTGCTTAACCCTAATCATGATCGAAATCACGGGTCGAACTCTAATGGAGTGAACTCGAAGGGGGGGGGGGGGGGGGAAAACAAAAAAAATTAAAAAAAAAAAAAAAAAAAAAAAAAAAAAAACAAAAATATTTAGGATCACACTAACACCATAAACAGAAACAAAAACGGGGGTCAAAACAAAAGGGGGAGAGAGGGGGGGGGGGGGGGGGGGGCAAAACTGACTGTTTCCCCGTACAAGACATCGTCACCATCTTTTTATGGTTTGAAAGGGGGTACATAGAGACACCATCAGTATTTCTGTGAAGTGGTGGCCATGGGTCCTAACTGTGTACAGCAGACCAATATTGACGACGCTGTTCTAATACGTATTTCTAAATCCTTGCGTCAGATTGTGGTTCCGTGAGTCAAAGCCTTTCAGATGACTTTCATGTATCCGTGGAGGCGTGGCATCTTTTGAACACCCATGTTGATTATAAAAACGGTTAGTTTTGATTCTTTTTTCACTTTGTGTTTGCGCATTTTTTTCAGACTTTTTCACAGTGGAATGTTATGGGCTGAAATCCCGGCAGTAGACTGCAGGATGGATGTTATTTTTCTGCGTTTCAGGCAGATCAAAGGCAAGCACAAAAACAGCGCACTGCGCGAGTCACACGCAGCGGAAGGCACACGTGACTCGCGCGGCGCCCTCTTCTTGCGCTTGCCTTCGCGTCTCGGTGACTGTGAATTCGCGCCATATCAAACTATCTCTCTTATTCCATCTCATAGAATTTATAAGATGTTAGCGGATTTTTCTGTAGTCGAATTCTGAAGGACTCAATCTTAATTCTGTTAGTTCTACAGGAAAGGAAACAGAAAATCTCTGTCTTGTTTTGACGTGCTACATGAAACTTGATTAGTAGACTCCTGTTGTGCAGCAACGGCATAGAAATGTACGAAGAAAGTGCGATGCATGTACAGAGAATTTTTTTTTGCTAAACCTCTTTTTTTACCTTTTTTTGTTGCCATCGCTGTCAAATTAGAAGAAAACCCGAACTCGTAGACTAATTTTTAAGTAGAATTGTTTAAGTTTTGCTCAGTTGTTGTCGTTGTTTTAAGTACTTATATACGCACCAACGTAAGAGTCTCTTTTGGTCAGATTTTGTTCGTCTATTGGATGAGTGGGAGGTTGGGCAGTGGAACTGGATGAGAACGTTTCAAGTTGACCGACTTATTTATAAGGTAACAAAGCAGTTTTGTGTTAGAAGGGTAGTGATCGTTTGATAAAATCACTAGGTCGGAGTATTTTAGTTAATCTCGTTCATTTTTGTTGATTATGAGCCATAAAGTTCATGTTAGCAAAGGAAATTCTCTTACGATATAATAAATTTCTTTCGCAAGGGGTCATGGGAATGTTCAATGTGATGTGAGTAGGATCATGGGAAAGCTTTAAAAACGCAAAGGCTCACTGTATCCTTCACCCTTCCCATAATCCCATAATCCCATAATCCTTTCGTAAAAGCCAAGAAACGACTGAGCACAAGGCAGATGTGTTTGAAAATTGATGGCGAACGGACCTTATTTTTTTGCTAGGGAAAATACAAAAAGGCGGTGGAGTTTCTTCAAGAACAAAGGCTTTCTTCGGAGCAAGATACTTCATCCAACCAAGAGGTAAGTTTTAACACAAACTAAAATTTAATAACCTGTTTTATTTATTTTAATGTTCATTTTGCGTGACATTTTATCAGCGGCCTGTTTATCCAACTTCGACCTATTTCCTAGTCTCGCGCGCAGATGTTTTTGGCTCGTCACGCAACGTTCCTCCCCAACGAACCCTTCCCTTCTTGGGGAGGGGCGTTTCGTGACGAGACAAAAACGGCTGGATGTGAGACTACCTATTTTCCAGGGCTTTAATTTCCCTCAGATATTGGGCCACTCCCAATTTCAGAGCCCATGATCAAACTCCTTGTATCTTTTGTCTTTCAGTTATTGATAAGAGGCGCCATTCAATTATCCTGTTGTTACTTTCAACTTGACGATCATAAGGTAATAAAAAATCACGTTGGCAAACACAAGTTGTTTTCGACTTCTCTCGATTGTGTTTTTGAGTGACTGATTATGGAAAGGTACTTAACCTTAGAAAAAGTGCAATTGATTGGAAGTGGCGACTTTAATGCAGAAAGTAGTTCGCAAAATTACCAAAAACAGAATAATAAAGAAGAAGCAACCGGTAAAAACTGCAAGTGTCCGTGAACACGGGCTTGGACGGTAGGTAGCTAGCTTATTTACTAGGTAGTCCAGTTCTGGCCCCTCTTTCTCTGTCACGCAACGCCCTCTCCCGGCGTTGCGTGACAGAGAGAGGGGGGCCAGAACTGGACTAACTTGCTAGGCCATTGCTTAGTAGAGGTTCGACGGTGCTTTCAAGTTTGTGTGTTGTTGTTTTCTTGATTTTTCTTCTTATTTTTTCCACAGAGAGCATGTGAAGAAGCTCTCTATGGTCTTCAGTTTTTTTCGTCAAGAAACTCGACCACAGAAAACGTGGCACTGAAAAGATCGACGTCAGTCCATCAAGGAAAACTTGACGTAACTGGAAACGACTCGGCAACCGCCACATCTTCTACTTCTGGTAATTTAGGATTTGTTCCACAAACGAAGCATAGCATTAAGATAAAGGGTTTTTTAGCATAAAAAAATGGCGTGGAATTGATAACCTTTAAATATTAGAACTGGTGCCATAGAATTTACAAGCCCTTGTTCCGATGAATTAATTAGCAATCATTTGATTTGGCTTCCTTTTGATATGAAGAATTATGCAGATCGAGGAGGGATAAGACCCTGTTAGATCTTCATAATTTTTCACATCATGCGACATCCGAATCCAGTAATGTTTTTTTCATACATTCTATGTACTTATTGATTGAGTAGGAGGGCCGAACGGGAAAATATTTGGCTCGAGGTTAGGATGTACGGACCGAGCGCAGCGGTGAGGACGCACGGACACCATTTTCTCCAACCTCGTTCGGGGGTTTTCTCTCTTTTCTTTCTCGAGGCAAGAAGGAAGAACCCTAGGAACGAGGTCTGCACTGGTAAAACATCTAAGCCACGCCTTTTGTCCTTTTTCCATTATTGACGTCGATTGATATTGATATCGACGAATATTGTCCAAATTTGGGAATAGCTGGGTATGAAGAATTTGCCAGAGGATTTAGACCAATCAGCAACGGAGAAACGTGCGTCATATGATTTTTAATCTTGTGCCTTTACTTCCAGGTCGGACTTTGCGGCTGATTCAGTGCAGTGAAGCGGAAGTTCTGTCCTTTTGTGTGCGTTTACTTCTGTCTTCCCTCAAGGTGATTGAGTGACTTCAAACGAACAATTGTGACAATGGGGAGCTAAAACAAAGACGGTTTTGAGCGACGCACGTCAACCGGAAGCTAGTCTGCTACACAGCCATGGGGAGGAGCGTTGCGTGACGACACTATAAACAGCTGTGTAGCAGACTAACCGGAAGTGGACTTTTTTCAATCTTGGGTAGTGGTTTTACCCACATTTTCGGCCAAACTGTCTCTGTAAGAGTAAAGAAACTTAGCAATAGTGTCAAGGTATTTTAAAAGGCAAAAGCCCGTATTTCCGGTTAAAGTGCGTCGCTCAACTGCTAAAGCTCCCTGATAAGAATCAGAAGGGGACTTAGCCAAGGTCTTTGTGTTACTGATGGTGTAGTCATGAAATCACTTAATGACATAAAACTTGAGACTAAAAAGACATTCTCAAACATTAATTACAAATTCAAGTGCAAATAAATACTATGAACCGTGACATTTGTGGTTATCTAACTGAAGATTATTCGTTTTTGTGCTATCAAGTAATCCTTGAAGACCGTCAGTTTTAATTGAGAAGTTAGTTACATCAAACACTTAAATAAGTGTCTCATCACAAAATTAAACACCTTGTAGTTCGTGACACATTTTCGGCCACGCGTCGCATTTTCATTTTCATTTTTCTCGGTGTTTGATATGTTATAAAACACCCCTTCTCGTGTTTTATCGTAAGATCGCTGAAAAAAGAACCCTGTGATCGCAGCGATGATTTGAAAACACTTTTTCAAAGATCGTTCCGTACCATTTAGAGCCATCTTTGCTATTCTTTGGAAACCGTTTTCCACTGAATATATCGCTTCCAGGAGTAGTTCTTGTGCCACATTTTCAAGTTAGCAACTTGGTTCGAAGATAGTACCAACTTGCTACCCTATAAATCCGAATTTAATGAATTTAGCGTTACGTTTATGACGATGAGTTCCTTTCGATCATTTATATTTTATTAACGATCGAGGCGGTTATATAGGAACCATTTAAAACCATTCTTAACCTCTGAACAAAACCCAACCTTCAACACAACAGCTACCAACAGTTGCCTACAGCATAAAAAACGACACCAACTTTTCTTTTCTACTTTCTTCTTCAGCAAAGACTGGCGACTGAAGGACGTAATGACACCCTCATAGGTCACGTAATCGTTCTTCTGCAGTATGGTTGGCCAAGAGAGGAAGCAACTTTTTATGAACTCCTCGACAAGATCCGTGATCATGGCGGGCTGAAATACAGAGTGTTTTTCAACTATGTAAGCAGTATCCTTTTGCGGTACTTTCTTGTTGGTTGTTTTGTGTCCTTTAACTACGCTGCAAGGGACTGAAATATCAATAGGCCATTTTCGAGTTTCCCCGAGCCTCTGTATCAAAACGAGGGTAAGTGGTCAGCCTTTGACATGGAAATGATTTTTCATTGTCGTGTAAATAAAACTCATTTTCTCAAGAAAGGTGCACTTGGCCTAATTTTGAAAGTGAGGGTGTTTGGAACTCGGAAGTGGCCTATTAAAAAATGACGTGTGGTATTCTTTTACACGAATCGCAAAAATCCTTGCCCTGAAGTACATTACTGTTGTACCTCTACTTAATACAAAAAAACTCCTCTTTTACGGATAGCTCTCGTGGTCCCCTAACATGCAAAACTTCAGACAATCTCAACTTCTATAATACGAACACCTCTGTAATGCGGATACTTGGTTGTGTCCCTTTTGGTGTTCCTTTTAAGATGGTTTGGCTGAGTAGGTTCTGACAGAAAGTGACTCTAAAGACAACGTGGATTTCCGTTGTAAATCAGAGCTTTTAACCACCCAAGTCCAATATGTTTTAAATGCAAAACCATGACTCAGAGTATAACGAAACCAGCATGATTACTAATTACAGTCATTTGGATTTTGTTTCCTCTGGATTTTCATTGCATATTCACTCAAATTACTCCTTGCTGATTGTGGCGGAGGAAGTTGGAAATTAGGCTCAAGACTGTTACTTACGTCAAACAACACGTCTTTCGTTTCAAGTTAATATTCTGTTAACTTAGCTGTAAGAGAGAAGAGTGATAACGGTAAGGATAATATTGATGATGATGATGATGTTGTTGATGGTGAATGATGTATTAGGGACTGTAAGATCCAACGACGCGGACGGCAACGAGAACGTGTAACGTCACCTTAAGCTCCCTAATAATGATGGTGATAATGCTGCTGCTGCTGCTGCTTATGATGACAATGATTATGATGATGATAATGATTATCGTGTTGGTTGTGGTGATGATGATAAACGTATTGAGTTGTCTATTTTAACTGTTGCCAGATATCGATATTTTAGAAGAGTTCGCTCATCTTTATATTGACGACAGCTATAATCTTGATCTTGTTCCTGTTGCCACGTCTGGTTCAAGGTGAGCGCGCTTCTACTGTGCCACATCAAACTGATACTTTTTTCGTAAAAACTGTTGAGATTTTACTGCTGATCACCGTTTTTCTTAGCATACGGTCAACTGTCTCATATAAACCTTGGGCTAATGCGCCTTCATAAAGGGTTTAGGAGGGCTTATCATCGGAGGGGCTTATATCCAAGGAGGCTTATAGACCTCTTTAGCTTGTGTGTTTTGTTTTTCCAATAGAGGTCCCGGGGAAACTTGACCCTTTGTCTCTTCATAAATTATGCGTACTTATGCGTACTTACAGGTCCCGGGGGAACTTGACCCTTTGTCTCTTCATAAATTATGCGTACTTATGCGTACTTACAGGTCCCGGGGGAACTTGACCCTTTGTCTCTTCATAAATTATGCGTACTTATGCGTACTTACAGGTCCCAGGGAAACTTGACCCTTTTTCTCTTCATAAATTCAAGATTCCTTTTTGCATTTACTGAGTTTATTTATATTTCAAAATGTCATAATAAATCGAATTTATTCTCATACATTTGGAGGAGGATTGTATCCGGGTCTTATAGTCGGACGGTTTTTGTTGTTGTTTACAGGTGCATGGGCCTATAACTGGGGGACTTATAAATAGGGGGGTGGGGGGGGGGCGTATTAGCGGCAGTTTATGGTATATGCGACAATAGCGGAGAGCTTTAGATTTGAGAGGCGCGTGTTCTAAAAAAAAGACACCCCGGAAAGCTTCGCTTTACTTTTTTTTTCACCAAAACGTCAGTACGGTTATTTATACTGAAGAAGGATAAGCCCTCTCCAGATAGCAAAATGATAAAACTTCTTACATTTGATAACTTGTTCCCGCCAGTAGATCAGAATGAAGACGGCTATTAACGACGGCTATCACGTTTTCCCGCCAAAACGACGGTGGTTCACGCGTGAGCACTACTGAGTCTTGAAAAAATCTCGTACTCATGGTCGTCCTCGTCTCAGAATCAGCTAGAATCTAAAGCTCCCTGATAGGCCTCTTGCACTTAGAGGTCACGTGACCAATACTTCCTTTAAACAATGAGTTGGAATCTTGCTGATGCCAAAAGTTGAAAAAGCAGATAAAAATTATCTTACACCGGAAATTTGAGAGGAAACGCATTTAAGGGAGATATTTTATGGCACTTTGATTTTTCAACAAAATAGTATGATTTGTATTAGCCGCCATGTTGGAGGGTATACTCTTGCCCTCCAACATGGCGGCCAAAACTACTTTTTCCTTATATCTTGTTAAACTTTTGATAGTTACGCTCAGATGTGCTGTAAACGTTACCACGTCATCCTTTCAACATTTTCCTTGAAGTTTAAGTGCAAAATTTGCGTTCAGAAAGAGGTAATTCATAATTTGTAAAAATCACGTTTTGGTCACGTGAACAGCTACGAATTTACAAATTTTAAGAAAATGGTGCGGGTTTGAAGGACCAAATAACTATTGTTTTGTTTAAGATATGACCTGACTTATGATGTTGTGTTTGTTTCATATCTGTCTTTTTACAGTAGGGCGGTAACCCGAGGGGTAAACAAGGGGGCCAAGGAAGACTTCCGTGCCGCCCTGGAGCGACAAATCGCACGAAGTGACGAGAATTTCGAGCCATTGCTTAGAGGTTTTTTCCAGGAAGAGGCCGATTCCTTAGTAAACTAATGGGCACAATGCCAAACAGCCAACAACTCTGATGAAGGTCTCCTCAGCGGACTACTAGTACATGCCTAATTTCAGACCATCTACTGATCGCACAGACCTTGAAAAAATCTTTTTAAAGATATTTTCCTTTAAAGAGGAGAAGAAGACCGTTTATTTAATCTGTAAATAGTTGAATTAGATTAAAAATTGAATTTTTGACTGTGTCATCACTATTAAAGCGCGGCTTTTGCGTAAACGTTTCCCTAACCCTTTAGACCGTAAGAGCGATTAGCATCAAATTTCTCTTTGTTATATCACTGGTTTATAAACAAAGTGGTGATGAGAATTAAGGACATGATCAAACATGTTGAAATTTAATTTATAATTTTACAAATCCTCCCCGCTACTTTTGTAGGAACTGAATAGAGGAAACAAATGAGAAATGGGATTTTCATATTGATAATGGGGTTTAGAGGGCAAACGAGTTAACAGATCTTTAAGATCTCCAGTATAAGCAGATTCCTCTCCCTTTTTACTGTTTTTAGGCTGAAAAACAATGAAAAATTCCAACAGGCAAATGCGACAGCTATACGCGTATGTTGCAAATGAATCATGCACTCTTATTTTTCTCGTTATTGAGGAATGTTTGTTCGTTTAGTCTCTCTTTAGACCTTTTTATTTTTCGAATTCAGGTCACGTGATGTTCTCAAGGGATTTTTATTAGTTATGCACGCATATGTACGTGGATAGCACGAAATCTGAAAGAAAAAAACAGTTCTTTGAGGTAACATCACATGGTCTGCGATGACAGGACCTCGAACAGAACTAAACATAAAAGCGAAAAAGGTCTATCGAGTTTTAATCCCCTTAAGGGATCTTTCGTGCAGTCTACATGAAGTAGGAAAATGGTTTGAAAAATCACGACAGGTCAGACAATGTCCCCAGGCCCTCGCAGATTAACACAAAAATCCAGCCAGAACTCACAACTCGATCAGCTAACTTTTCGAATTTCTGGTATGGTAACTAAAACTTTAACGACAATTTAGACGAGTCAATTTACACGTAGAAGTCTATTTATATGGCTGTATTCGACGGAAAAAAATCGCCAGAAGTAAAGCTGCAGCATACATCGTCGTGAACTATACCCACGCGATTTCCAAATCGATTTTCCCCTGATTTTCGCCAAAATCGAGCAAAGTGCTCGGAGATCCATTGAAATCGATCATTGTTTAATAGGCGTGTCATAAGCAGTATATACGTGACGTATAAGATTTTGAGCATTTTACAATACAAAATACATGGTGCGAATTTGAATTGGAAGCAATCACTGAGCAATCTCTGTTCAACATGAAGTCTCTTCGCAAGCAAATTGGTTCGCGAGCCAGGAGAGTTATTAACAACCGTTAACAATATCATAGGGAGGACACGGCAGACAGCGCTTAACTTGCGAGATCATAGTTTAATTTGGCCCGCTTTCGCGGGAACGCGGGAGCAAGACTCCGTAGTAACCAGCTGTCGGGGGTAATCGGACGAGATCGCGGAAAAAATGTGCCCAGGGAAAGGTTTTTTCTAAAAATCTGAAGAAAAAAACAGCTTCTAGGAGTCCGTTTTTAGCAATCATGATCGTCAAAGTAAAGATAAAGAAAGCGCTAATTTTTGCTTACAAGTCAATTTTTTAGTTTACCCTAAGTTCTTTTCTTCTGTCCGAACCCTGAGAACAGCCAAGAAGGATCGAAAGATCTTCGAGCACGGAAATCAGCAACAGCGTTCTTATCTTAGTAAAAGACCCCTGTCATTTCTTGAAAATTCTCAGTGATTGAACAAATAAATTTCGATTCTAAAGCTTATCCAAATTTTGAACGCATATTTCCCTATACGAATGCCTTTCAAATAAGCTCTCGCGTTCGGCGTATCCTGCGTCCAGCCCCATATTCAAGGATGATCAACAAATGTCGTGGGACTCCCCAAAGACTTGCCACCCTGTGTGTGGCCCATACATATAACTTTTTGTTCTTCTTTCGAGAGATTGTGTAACCTGAAAAGTATTATCTGAATCTTTCCATCATGAAGTTTGCTTTTCGCTGGTGAAATGAGTGAACTGACTTCTTGTACATGCAAATTGAATCTCTTGGAAGTGCTTAGAGTCTGCCAGTCGATTGTAGATTGGAATCAAGGTTAACGATCACAAAAAGAAAAGAAGGGATAGAAAGAAATCATTACCGGGTACTTTTAAAATCGGACACGTTTATGTGTGGCGTGAGTTCTAGCCTCGGCCGCGGTGCGCGTGGTTTACGATCGGGTCCAGGTGTTTTCAGAAATGATAGTTTTTTTTTAGCAAGTAACGATTCCAAGAAAATGAAACAGAGGGCAGACAGGAAGAAGATTATGCCTCTACAAATATACCGGTAAAATCGAACACACTTGTTCGTCCCTTGAAAGCGGAGCAACAAGATCTGATAGGGAAAACCCCGCGCCTAATTGTCTCAAAGTCCTGTAATGAACAAATAATCGGAGAGTGTGGCATCAAATGAATTGAAAGGGTGATTTGGATTAGAAGTACTGAAAATAAAGTGGGGCATATGCCGCCAAAAAAACTAACAGAATAAATTAATTGCATTTTGATCGTCTTTAGCGCCAGCTGTTTTTGGGAGTCCTTGGGAACGATCGCTTTATCATGGCGCGCTCGGCGACGCATATGTTTAGGACCGAGTTAGCGGGAGACCACTTATTTTCGCGTCATCTCAACAAAATATCATTAAGTCTTCTATAATAGCTAATAAACTCAAACCCTAGCACACTTATACATTATATTCAAAAAGCTGGAAATGTACGCTCTGGCGAATGCTATGCACCGGAAACAAATCAGCGCATTGGGGAATACCCACAAGGCCTGGTCGCTCAATCGTTGTGCAGAAAAATTTCGCGCTCTCCGAAATGTTTAGCGTCTACAAGACGTCTTAGGCTGTAAGAAATATAGACTAAACTTGACTAGCAAGTGCAATAAAAGCGGTTGCAACGATCACATAAAGCAAAAGTTTGCAAAATACCTTGTTTATTCCATTTTGTCCCATGATCTTGTGCGGTCGTCAAAGCACGTGTGGCTTCCTATCAGTCATGCGCATTTGGAGGCAATATGGCGCGAATGAAGTTCCCAGGATCTAACAAGAGCCGTTCACCGGAGAAAGAAAAGTCTTTGGATATGTCTGGACGTACGAGAAAGGACACGTTGATTAAAAAACAGAAGAGATCGGTTATCAAGCCAGTTTTAATTAGTCTTCGAAGATACCGCGAAATTTTTGGAGATTCCGATGAAGAGGTGATTCGATGTCTCTGTTTGCCATGCACATTTCAGTGTTTTGTTTATCAAACCCTTTCAGTTCTGTCAGTGGTCAGTGATTTTAGGCTCAAATGTTGATTTCTTTTTTATCTAGGAAGAAGAATTTTACGGCTTTCGAGCAGAGGATTTAGGTCTCAAAGCATATCGCTCTTTTTCTGTCAGTCGATATTTGGATGGCAGCGAGAGAGTCAGTTATAGGAGAAATAATCATGGCGCTCGAGACACTCATTCGCGTCATTCAGCAGGCCATTCATCAAAATTGCCCCCAGAATCTTCCCATCATAACAACAATATCAAGGAGACGGAGAAAAAGCAGACGATCACATCGCCTAGCCAAAACATATACGCAAAACAGTACAAGAAGAGAGAGTCGTACGAGAGACGCTTCGCGCGTCCTGTGGTTCGTGAGGCTGTATTCGACAATACTTGCTTGTCACCGAATGTGAAATCAACAACTCAGGTGAAGGCAAATTTTGTACCTCGAGTCCCAAAACCTCCTCAAGTAGTTCTTTCCAAAAGCATGAAAATATACGAAAGGAATTTATTTCCCTTCGCGGGTGTAAAAAAGAAAGCAGCCGTTCCACTGGCGAAACAGTTGTTGGCAAAGGCCAAGGAGGGACAGAGGATTCGCAAGCAGAATTCATCGGTAAACAAACATAGCGACCAAGTGCGATCGCGGTTTGGGCGAGTTGTAAAGAGTAAAAAATTGGATTACGACGACGTAACCTCACCCAAATTCAAAGCAAAGAGAGAAGAAACGAGATCTGAAGCTGCCAACGAGATCAATCGAGGACAAAAGAGGCCCCTCGAGGATGGCGAATGTCCTCCTGAGAAATCGCTACGACTGGCAGAGGTGAAGTTGGAGAGAATGGAACTACCAGCCGATCAAAGCGTCTACGTTCCTAATCCAGGTATTTATATTGTTTATCATGAATAACTAGTTCTGTCAACAGTTGTGAACAGGTTGTATTAATTTAGAAGCCACTTGTAAGGAAGACTGGAAGTTTACTTGACGCGAAACCCCTAACTTTCTTTGATTCAGTTCAATGTCAGTAAACTGTTAAGCGAATTTGCAGTGATGAAAGAAAGAGAAGCATCAGACCGGGATTATTTTTTTGACATGCAATTAATTTCCCATCATCATGTGCATACATAAAAGGGCTTGTAAAATATGTGAAATAACTATTTTTTTAAACAAGTCCTAAAGTGTCATTTCAGCAAGGTTGTTGAAGGTAATGTTGAGTCAGGGAAATTTAATATTTTGGGATGCATTTTGGGAAAGAAAATCATTAATGAATAAACCTCTATGGATTATTTGAGCATTTCGTGTTCGTATGGGTTGTTTTATCTGGTTAGCATTGCGAGTAAGAAAATAATGATATTCGTATATAAATCAAACATCATTAAATATTACAGGATGAGTGATTTTAAAAATTATGCACTTCAACTTTGAGGTTGCCACAAATATTTGATTTTTTGATTTTCTCTTTGTATTTCTCTGTGTAGCTCCTGTTGATAATATTTTAATGAAGTTTGTATTTATACTAATTTGATTTTTATGTTTTTTTTATTGTTTTCTTTTTTTTAATATTACCTATAGCCAACTAATAAATGTTTAATGGCAACGTAATTTGTTGCAAAATATTAACATTTTAAAGTCTTTTCATCACAGTACAGTTTTGTTAAAAAAAAAAAATTGGTGAATTGAGTTCACCACATTGTTTTTCTTAAAACTGCATTGTTTACATTACTAACAAAACAACTCGCTCTCCACTTAAAATGCTGCTTCATAGTTTTTAAATATTCCTCTTCAAAGTTATTTTTGAAAAATAATACAAAAGTAATATTGACACATATACAGGAGTATAGGACTACAAACCTTTGCTGCCATCTTACGAAGAGCCTTTTGTGGTGGGTTTGTTGTACGTAAAATCTTTTCTCAGGTTAAACTAGTATGTCCTTTTTTATGTAGCCCTAATTATTCATAAGAAACAAAAATAGAGAAAATTCTGGTTTGACCTGAGGGTGAGTTATGCCTACAACAAAATACTCAGTCAGTAAACTATTATTATCATCATCATCATCATCATTATTATTACCAGTAACAGTTGACACTTCAGATGTTTGTCATGTGTACATGGGTTGATCACTAGTTATTATATATTATGAGTTTCTGATAATAATGATAATCATCATCATCATCATCATCATCATCATCGTTATTAATGTTGCTATTATTATGCTTCATAAAATGTTAAATGTCAGTGTCTGAGTACCACATTTTGCATTCCGATAGAATCTCCCACAGGATTTGACATCAGGCCTCTTGGTGCGAGTGATGGGGGAAAGGTATGAAGATGTCTTTTTTTCTGCTGTTAAATTTACAGTATACTTCTATCTATATATTGTCCCTTTTTAGCCCACATATATGTTATGGATCAAATTTGATTTCAGGTTAAATTTTTTTAACCTGGGTTGACTCTCAGTTTCCTTTGTCTTCTAGGGCTAGAAAGGAAATTGAGAATCAACCTAGGTTAAATCAAAATTTACTTGAAATTAAATTTTACCTGTATTATATAAAGCTACCTTGCATTGTTCCCCATTGCTGGAAAAAATTTTTTGACGGAGATTTCTGCATTTTGGCCTCAGAAATTCTGTACTGATGATGTAAAAGTAATTCTCATATTAAAGCAAAAATATTCCCTAGAAAATGAATGTTTCTTGGTAGATTCTGTGCGTGGTACATTTTTGAACAATAGTTGAAAGAGTATAATATATTTTATTTCTTTGTCAACCAATCAGTACTGTTAACCATGTTCTGTACAGATTATGAATTTTTTGGGCCAACTGAGAATCAAACTGTTCTGAAACGGTTAACTTGAATTTCAGTTTAAACCACAGCAGCTATGTGCAGTGTTCTTTCTTGTTATTTATGTAGCATAGCCTTCACCACCGATGAAACTAAACTCTGGTTAAGTCTGTCTGTGAAACAGCACCAAAATCTTGTTCAGGGTCCCCACCTGTGTACCAGGATTTGAGTAATCGTTGGGGACCCAGAACATGGATATCAGCACTTCTTCACAGACGTTACTTACTGAGAGGTTAAATTTGATCTGCAATGCGGGCTATTTTTTATACAGCTATGATTATTTTGTTTTTTTATTGTCAGAATGGAAAGTTTGACTTCAAGGACAAAACAGCCAGCAATTCCTCAGCTGATGAGAATCAGACTGTTACCAGGAAAACTCGCATTAAGAACGCAAAGAGGATTAAAAATGCACTTACTGAAAGAAACCATTATCAACAGGCAAAGTTTCCTGGTCATAAAAAACAGGGAGGAGCGAATAGTAGAACTTCAAATTCAGGGGACGAGCTATCTAGCTCAAGATTTAGAAAAGAGGGGAGACAAATTAACAGTAACAGAGACTTAACATCTACAAAGAGATCAGAGAGAATTAAAATTAGGAAAAGAACACTGGATGTTTCTGGTATCAAACAAGAACATGAAAAAGAGGATTCTGAGGACCAAGTTAGTGATGCATCATCCATTTCGGAGGTTTCATCTTTAGGTAGTAATGTATCTAAAAAAAGTACACCCAATTCTACAAACAAATATGTGTTTAAATCAAAACGTCTACAAGAGATGCAAGAAAAAGTGGAGAATGAGTTGATTGAAGATAATTCAGTAGTGAACAGGGATAACTTGGGAGAAATTAAACAGCAGGGTGGGAATGAAAATGCTTGTATAGATTCTGACGGTGGAATGAGTAGCCGTGCATCATCTCGACGGTCGAGTCAGGAAGAGAAGAGAGTTCATAAGGACTCTGATAATGAGTGCCAGCCTCGTAAAGGGCTGGTGGTAGTGAAGAAAAGAAAAACAAGTGGGAAGAAGGCAGCTGCCTCAAGACTCCACATAATCAAAAATGACAATGAAATTCCCAGCTCTAGTGAAGATGAAGAAAGTAGCAAACCTCTTTCAGAAATCAAAAAAGAAATGGAGAAATCACCTGAAGAACAAACAGAAAGGGTGGTGAAAAGAGTCATCAAAGTTGTGAAGAAAGTACGAACAAAGAGTGGTGAAACCAAGACAAAGGTTGTGAAAATTATTAAGAAAATGGGCGTGAGAAAGAAGCCAACTGAAAAATGTGCTGTAGTCAGTGGGCGCAGGAGAGTACGTTGTGGAGTCTGCGAGGGTTGTAAAATAGAGGAGGACTGTGGTGTTTGCCGTTGGTGCAAGTAAGTACTTTTCATGATCATAAATGATGTGTTAGGAAACAAAAGAAACTGAAAGTCAAACCAGGCTGAAACCATTTTAACCTGAATTTCATTTTGACCTACTACATAAAAATGTCCCTAGTATGGGTCAACTAGGCAGAGAAAATATTCTGAAACCATTACAAAATGTTTTGAAAACTGAATGATTTTGAAAGCTGTCACTAAGATGTCAAATTGCCAAGGAGATTTAACAAGTGGGTGGGGAATTAAACAGCTAGGGATTCCTTTGATTCTATTTGCATCTATTTTTTATGAAAGTCGTCAGGGGACACAGGGTTGTCAAAAGTAGCCGGCTGCCGGCAAAAATTGTTACCTACTTGGTTAGTATCGGCCAGCTACTCTGCTTGGCATTTCTTTGTGGACGGCATTTTTTATTTTAAATAAAAGATCCCTGGACTGGCCGCTTACTTTGACAACTCAGCTGTCTACGTCAAAACTTTCTGACAACTTTGGACCAACACCTTCATAGTAACCAGGGGAAATTCCTGACCCCCAGAACTTAATGACAGCCCTGTATCTTTAAAGAAAGGGGTATTGTGTGATGCAAAATGAGAATTATAGATTATATGTATTTCACCTAAATTTTTTACTGCAGGGACAAACCAAAGTTTGGAGGACCAGGAATATGCAAGCAATCTTGTGTGTAAGTAGTTTGTGGTGTAATGATGATTGTCAAGATATGTAAAATAGTTTTACTGGAGAACCAATGAATTACTCACCATCTTTATTTTAAATTTCAGTGAACGCAAGTGTCTTGATCCTCAGCCCCCAAAACCTTTGGGCAGTGCTGTTCCCAAGAAGTCAGAGAAAGGTATTTTTGGGCTCACCCAAAATTACTTGTTTATGGAACATAAGATCTACTACATAAATTACTAAAGTTTCCCTTATCTTGAACTTCAGGAACCTGCTTCTTACTTCCATTTACTAAACCTGTAACAGGCTGGATTCATTCAGTGTAAAAATTTCTCATTCTTAACTTTACTTAATGAAAGAAATGTTCAGCTACGTGCAACTTTTTGTTGAGATCGATCAGACTCAATGTTTCCAGCTGTTAGAAGTCTGCTGGTTGCTGGCTTCTATTGAGAATCGTCCTGGGATTCTCACAGTTTTGAGAATGTTATTGGCCGGTAGAAATTCAAATACTNATCTTTATTTTAAATTTCAGTGAACGCAAGTGTCTTGATCCTCAGCCCCCAAAACCTTTGGGCAGTGCTGTTCCCAAGAAGTCAGAGAAAGGTATTTTTGGGCTCACCCAAAATTACTTGTTTATGGAACATAAGATCTACTACATAAATTACTAAAGTTTCCCTTATCTTGAACTTCAGGAACCTGCTTCTTACTTCCATTTACTAAACCTGTAACAGGCTGGATTCATTCAGTGTAAAAATTTCTCATTCTTAACTTTACTTAATGAAAGAAATGTTCAGCTACGTGCAACTTTTTGTTGAGATCGATCAGACTCAATGTTTCCAGCTGTTAGAAGTCTGCTGGTTGCTGGCTTCTATTGAGAATCGTCCTGGGATTCTCACAGTTTTGAGAATGTTATTGGCCGGTAGAAATTCAAATACTGCTCAACATTCTTGGTGTAACTGTGTGATATATTTTTTGGTGTAAAATACACCAAATATGACATATTTGTAAACCCTAATTGTTGCTTGCAGCAATAATGTTTTGAATTCATAACAACGCATCGTGTTCAAAACCCTTTAATTCCCAAGATTGACCAACACCTATTTTCTTTGAACAGCGTCAATACATCGTCAAGGGGAATGTTATGAGAATAAATAAAATAACCACCAAAGGCAATTAAATGTTTTGAACTTTTGTCAGATTCTTTCAGCTTATTCTTGAAGGAAATGTATGGATCTCGGTCTGGAGAATCTGTATTTAGATACTGGAGCTTTAAGGCTCACATTCAACTGAACGGCTTTGCAAGTCCTGTATTCCAGAAAAATGATTTCGTGTAGTTGAAAATTGCCATCTTCAGTGTGTGAGAGTCAAAAGTGAACACTTTACCCATCAAAACACTGAATTTGATAAAAGGAGTGTTTGAAAAGAAAAACACATGCGCGAAAAGCCGCTTGGGTGAACATGGGCCTTAAACTGACAACTAACTGGGCTTTTTGATCATCAGCAAAACCAAAGGTGATACCTAAAAAAGAAGGAATTCCCATGAAAAAGATTTTCAGGAAAGAACAGAGTCAGGTTCCCCAATCCAAGAAAAAGTCAAGTGTTCAAGTCAAACCACCAGCTGCTGGCAAGAGGCAGGCAGTGCTGGATGATAAGAACCTTGTTAAGCTGCCTTGGAGTGTAAGTTAATGATAGTAATTGTTAATATTCCAAGGGAATTACCCGATTAGTCCCAGGACCCCACACCTTTTCACCAGCTGAGTGTTGACTGACATTATGTCGTAATGTGATCACTTGTCTCCCGCAGTTGTTCAAGTGCTTGTGTTCTTTTCTTCCCTCCAGCCCTGGGGACTTCTCTTCCCTGGGTCTCGGTTTGCTCATTAAAGATGCTTAAACAGATCTACTGGCTTGTTGTCTGCTGAGGTGCACAGGGGACACCAGGGATAATAATAACACACACCTGGGATTGTGATCTTGTAAAAACTTTAAAATTAATTTTTTGTTTATGGCGGAATCGGAGCACTTGGCTTCAGATTTAGCAGGTTTGTGACACTAAGGCTGTGCTCTGGTGGTACCCAGGAGCTCTTGGTGCCTAACTTTTGCTCCTGGGCCAGAAGAAAATCTTAGTTCTTTTTTCATAGAACCATAATGTTAGACACCCTGGATTTCAATTTTTTTAGAGCACAGCCTTGGGCACTCAAAATAACATACATGTTAAGAGTACAATTGATTGAACAAACCTATAGGATTGTGAAAAACTCTAACTGGGAGCTTGTGACAGTCTTGTACATGGCAGGGTACCTTTGGGAAAGTGTAAGCCATAATTTTTTGACTGGCACTTTGCACTACTTTGATGCAGAATCACCTTTGAAAAAGTACAAGATAGTTTTTCTTAAACATGACCTGTACCAGCTGAGACCCTATGGCAAAGGCAAACGGCAAAGGTGACATTTTGTAGAGTGAAGAAGTGAACAGTCAAGTTGAAAGGGCCTGGGGATCTAAAAGTCATTTTGTGTAGGTATATGAAATCTAGGATGCTAAAAGAATAACAGTATATTTTTATCATTTATTAGGATAACAGTACTGAGGAGGAGATCTGGAAGGAAGGATTTGGGATTTGTTTTACTGCTGGTGTTCCTAGTGCAATAAAGGAACTCTGTTTTCTTTGTGGCAGCAAGGGCACAGAAAAGGTTTGAGAAAAATGCTCTGTTAATCTGTGTAAGAGATTTTAGAATAATAACAATATGCATGAAGAGATAATGAAAAGTTATGAGCCTGGGCCGGATTGTTCTAAGCTGGCTTAAGATAACCCAGGGTAAGTGTGAAATGTGCTTAATAAGCAAATTCAGTTTAATTCTTTTGGTCTATAATTATTTTGGTGATTGGATGCTCTAAAAAGAATAGGGAAAATTATCTGAGAAAGTGTTTAAAATAACCGAAAAAGGAGCATGGATTAAAATTTAACCCCATTTAAGCACTAATCTGCCTTTGAACAACTTAGCCCTGGTGAACTATTAAGATCCATAGTATTAACATTTCCATCAAAACATCCCCACTGTATTTTTAACTATGTTGCACAAGGTTATTTTAACTTGTGAACATGTAAATGAAAATACTCAATTATGACTGTTCAAATAAAAGCCACTAAAGTCTTATGTCACTGTGGACTGATTATTTTGTGTAAAAGTCAGATTTTTTCTGTCATTTTTATTTCAGCCATTCTAGGAGAGTCACATTCTTGTTTTGTCTTGTTTGTAGATGTATTACTGCAGAGTTTGTGCTGAACCTTTTCATGGGTTTTGTCTTGATGAGACTCCAATAGATGAGAGCACATGGTGCTGCGATAACTGCAGCAGCTGTTCTGTTTGTGGATATCAGGACAAGGTAAAGTAATAGGACAGTTTCTTTTGTCCTCCACTCATGTTCTATTTTTTCTTTTTTTGTTTGTTTTTCCTGAAATATAAAGTGCCTTTGGTTCTCACTGACAATGGAGTCAGAGTCAGAGTCATTATCAGAAAGTTAGAGCACTTATGATCAAGTGAAAACCCTGTTACTATTGTTTACAATCTAGTGAAAACTAGACTGTTGATAGTCACAATCAGAAGAACTTAGCTAATCACAAGGTCAAGGTTTTGGAAATGAGCAAATGTAATAAGGTTTAGTCTTTCTCTTCATATTTTGACTCTGTCAATCCTGTCGTTAATAGATTGTTAGCTACAGTAGAGTTATCAGTGGAGTCAGAGAAGAGTGGAAACTTTAATCTGTTTCTTGCAAATGTGATTCCATCGATTATGACTCTGTTGCTAGTGAAAAAAACAGCCATTGGGAAACTACCTGAAATACATACTCTGCATTTCTAACTGTCAACTTCTTCTGCAAGGATAGCAAATCCTGTCAGGATGCCCACGAGCTCCCACGAGAATGAAAATCTCTGAGAGTTCCTTTAGATATTGTTATTAAATGATTCAATCATTTCAACAAACATTCTCTGACTGCTTAATTCTCAGCTTCTGATGTGTGATCGCTGCCAGCGGGGTTATCATGTGGAATGTATTGGTCCTCATTACCCCACAGAACCAGAAGGAGAAGATGATGTGTGGGTAAGTGGTTCTTTTTGTTGTAAAATTCAAACTTAAGTCACCAACGTTACAGCAAATACCTATCATGTGTACACCTCTTGAAGATGGATATGCCTCTGGAAGGGGCACGTTACGTCAAAGAGCTAAAAAACTCGTTCAAAATAGGAATGTGTAATGTGTNAAGAGTGGAAACTTTAATCTGTTTCTTGCAAATGTGATTCCATCGATTATGACTCTGTTGCTAGTGAAAAAAACAGCCATTGGGAAACTACCTGAAATACATACTCTGCATTTCTAACTGTCAACTTCTTCTGCAAGGATAGCAAATCCTGTCAGGATGCCCACGAGCTCCCACGAGAATGAAAATCTCTGAGAGTTCCTTTAGATATTGTTATTAAATGATTCAATCATTTCAACAAACATTCTCTGACTGCTTAATTCTCAGCTTCTGATGTGTGATCGCTGCCAGCGGGGTTATCATGTGGAATGTATTGGTCCTCATTACCCCACAGAACCAGAAGGAGAAGATGATGTGTGGGTAAGTGGTTCTTTTTGTTGTAAAATTCAAACTTAAGTCACCAACATTACAGCAAATACCTATCATGTGTACACCTCTTGAAGATGGATATGCCTCTGTAAGGTGCACGTTACGTCAAAGAGCTAAAAAACTCGTTCAAAATAGGAACGTGTAATGTGTAGATGTGGTAGGGAAACCTTCACTTTTCTGTTTTTAAGTATATATATAGTAATGTAAGAAATGTCTTTGAGGACAAAGTGTCTTAAATTTTGTCACTGATTGGCGATCTTATAATGTAGATGGTTTAAGTAACCTTTATGATACAGATAGTTAACCTTGTTATGCATTTCAGGCAGAATGTGTTAAATAATTTCATTGTTGTAAATCTTGTCTTGTTTCTTACTAGGTATGTGGTCGTTGTGTTCAGTGTAAGAATTGTGGAAAGAGGACTGCTGGAGAGGTAAGCTGCTTACTGCCACTAAATTATTTTGTGGATTAGATAATAAGTGTTGTGTTCTGCTGAGAGAGAAATGAAATTTCCCTTGTGCTGGAAGTCTGCTGGTGTGCTTATTGCCATTTATTTAAACCATCAGTTTGAAAATTGTTTGCATTACCAATTTAAATGTAATATTGAAGATATGACCTTTGCAGTTTTAATTGCTTTTTAAACAATTGCAAGTTAACCTGAGATGAGGCTCAATTTTTGTTTCGCTTTGTGATAACATTCCGGCTGGCACGGCGAAACGATATTAGCAGTAGCCGTTGGGGAGAATGACTTGTATGAGAACCGCTAAAATTGGGCCTGATCTCAGGTTATTGTAAGTTAATTGCAACAACAATGTGGTGGTCCTATCTTCATTGAGATCTATAATCCCACCATTCACATCATCATCATTCTATATAACCAATACCTTATGGGAGATTAACCACTATTACATGTAAGTGTAGCCAGATCAGGTGAAGGAAGGAAAAATATAGGAAAAAAAGCATCACGTCAAACAACAGCCCATTTCCAACCAGAATAGCAGGAACCCTATCTAACCCTTTTTTTTAAATTAAGTCTTAGATTTTCTATGAAGAAACACAGCCTTATACATGTATAGTCAAATTTAGTGACACTGACAACATTTTCTTTTAGAAACCTGAGGCCTTGTGGATGCTGGAGTTTACACATTGCCAAGACTGTGGCCTCCAAAGACAACAGGGTAACTTCTGCCCCCTTTGCGACAAGTGCTATTCTGATGACGACTTTGAATCTAAAATGGTGCACTGTGTTCAGTGTGATCACTGGGTGCATGCCGAGTGTCAAGGCATCACCTTGGATCAGTACGAGTGTTTGTCAGACTTGCCAGAAGAAGTACAGTTTATCTGTAGGCAGTGCTGTTCAGAACAGGAGACGCTGAACTGGTACAAAGAGCTCATGGAGGAGATGGAAGCTGGTTATGAACGGGTAAAGTCAAGTTTTTTTTTAGGCACTCAAAATAACATACATGTTAAGAGTACAATTGATTGAACAAACCTATAGGATTGTGAAAAACTCTAACTGGGAGCTTGTGACAGTCTTGTACATGGCAGGGTACCTTTGGGAAAGTGTAAGCCATAATTTTTTGACTGGCACTTTGCACTACTTTGATGCAGAATCACCTTTGAAAAAGTACAAGATAGTTTTTCTTAAACATGACCTGTACCAGCTGAGACCCTATGGCAAAGGCAAACGGCAAAGGTGACATTTTGTAGAGTGAAGAAGTGAACAGTCAAGTTGAAAGGGCCTGGGGATCTAAAAGTCATTTTGTGTAGGTATATGAAATCTAGGATGCTAAAAGAATAACAGTATATTTTTATCATTTATTAGGATAACAGTACTGAGGAGGAGATCTGGAAGGAAGGATTTGGGATTTGTTTTACTGCTGGTGTTCCTAGTGCAATAAAGGAACTCTGTTTTCTTTGTGGCAGCAAGGGCACAGAAAAGGTTTGAGAAAAATGCTCTGTTAATCTGTGTAAGAGATTTTAGAATAATAACAATATGCATGAAGAGATAATGAAAAGTTATGAGCCTGGGCCGGATTGTTCTAAGCTGGCTTAAGATAACCCAGGGTAAGTGTGAAATGTGCTTAATAAGCAAATTCAGTTTAATTCTTTTGGTCTATAATTATTTTGGTGATTGGATGCTCTAAAAAGAATAGGGAAAATTATCTGAGAAAGTGTTTAAAATAACCGAAAAAGGAGCATGGATTAAAATTTAACCCCATTTAAGCACTAATCTGCCTTTGAACAACTTAGCCCTGGTGAACTATTAAGATCCATAGTATTAACATTTCCATCAAAACATCCCCACTGTATTTTTAACTATGTTGCACAAGGTTATTTTAACTTGTGAACATGTAAATGAAAATACTCAATTATGACTGTTCAAATAAAAGCCACTAAAGTCTTATGTCACTGTGGACTGATTATTTTGTGTAAAAGTCAGATTTTTTCTGTCATTTTTATTTCAGCCATTCTAGGAGAGTCACATTCTTGTTTTGTCTTGTTTGTAGATGTATTACTGCAGAGTTTGTGCTGAACCTTTTCATGGGTTTTGTCTTGATGAGACTCCAATAGATGAGAGCACATGGTGCTGCGATAACTGCAGCAGCTGTTCTGTTTGTGGATATCAGGACAAGGTAAAGTAATAGGACAGTTTCTTTTGTCCTCCACTCATGTTCTATTTTTTCTTTTTTTGTTTGTTTTTCCTGAAATATAAAGTGCCTTTGGTTCTCACTGACAATGGAGTCAGAGTCAGAGTCATTATCAGAAAGTTAGAGCACTTATGATCAAGTGAAAACCCTGTTACTATTGTTTACAATCTAGTGAAAACTAGACTGTTGATAGTCACAATCAGAAGAACTTAGCTAATCACAAGGTCAAGGTTTTGGAAATGAGCAAATGTAATAAGGTTTAGTCTTTCTCTTCATATTTTGACTCTGTCAATCCTGTCGTTAATAGATTGTTAGCTACAGTAGAGTTATCAGTGGAGTCAGAGAAGAGTGGAAACTTTAATCTGTTTCTTGCAAATGTGATTCCATCGATTATGACTCTGTTGCTAGTGAAAAAAACAGCCATTGGGAAACTACCTGAAATACATACTCTGCATTTCTAACTGTCAACTTCTTC